TTAATAATGAATCTAAGTTTATTCCAAAGCGAGATTTGTTTTACATTGCGAAGTGAAATTTTAAGAATGTGATGCCACAAATAGACCTAGTAAAGACAAACATTTGAACTACCATTAATTTTTGTGTATTATGCTAAAAGTGAAAGAATAGCAGAATATTTTCATGTATAATAACCTAATCTACTAAAGATGAAGCGAGCGCTCTCATCACTAAATGACCAATTATACAAAGCAACTATAACTCCAGAATTTATGTATGACAGAAGGACACTATTCCTATATTTTAACTCAATAAATAGAAATGGATTGGATGCATCTCAAATGGATGAAAAATCAGCTTACCTTTAACGGAAATTACAGAAGCCATAGCAATGACTTCACTCTCTTTAGAAAGAACTAACAACATATCTCCTTTTATGAACAATTCATTTTCATCTATTGCTTCTTCTCTGGATATAGACAGATTTTATTATACAGCAATAAGCCAATGAGTTAACTTAAATAAGACGCTAAACTAAAAATGTTTAACTGAATAGCTTTTTAAAGAGGAAATGATATTTGTATGAGAGAAGAAAGAATTTACCTCTGAAAAGTAATAGTAGTTCTATTCCCTCGTTGGAAAATGGAATCAAGGATAACTTTTACACTTAATAATGAATTCTTCCTGAAAATCATTTTAACTGCCTATTAAAGTATTACATATTAAAGTCAATAACTGTAGTTTTTTCTGATAATAGAATCTGACTAAGTGAAGCATTAAAGAATATTTATGAAGTGAAAAAACCTTCTGCATATATTTTCTTTATCAATTGCATTTTTCTCCGTTATGTATCTCCACTCCATTAATATCAAACGAATGAATCGTTTAAAATAATCAATGTGACTTTCCTTAAGATGTTTTAACTGATCTTGGACGATTTCGGTGGCAGTTGATGTAGAATATTGCAATAAGGAACATGACAAGGCATGATTGCACCATTTGCAAATATGTGTATTGAGGATCGGTTCTACAAAGATAACAATAAAATCTTCCATTATTATTGTCAGAATGAAAAAATTTTTTCAGTATTTCAATAAACAACCATTGTACAAAAACTGAACTAGCATTTCCGCCGTTAATTGATTAAACACAAAAATTTTCGAATATACAGAAATCCGTAAAAAAAAAAAGAAAAATTTTCTGACACAATGATGTCTGAAATTTGCATGTTTAATAGTCAAAGATGACCTGGAAGATTATCAAATGAAGTATCACTTATGCTTGAGGCAATTTCATTGCGCATTTGTAGGATTCCTTTGAGATCGATTGTTTTGGGAGACACAGTTCGAGAGGTCTCATCCAGCAAATACAGAAGCAACCCGCTTTCAATTGTTCCCTTTAAAGTTGATATATAAATATAAACAAATATTCTTTATTCCCATTAAGATTGTTTTTATGATATCTTGTCTGATGTATTTATCATTGCTTGTATCACTTTCCAATAGTTTAATGTATAGCAATATATCTGAATGCGAAACTCTTGAAATTTAGAACTATAGTCTGTACCAACAACATCTAAAACCTCTATAATTATGTTATTCAATGATGTGAAATTGGGATTCAAATTGTATGGCAGTATTCTTGGAAACAAACGAGACGAAAGTGGAAGTATCTGGATATAACACCAACCTGTTTTGAGGCTAGAGCAAGACAATAAAGCATGACCTGTGTAATATGCTCTGTATTTGGATTTGACTTGCCAGTTTTCAATTCTATAGGGATCAGTTTTTTCTCTCCATTCTTCTTTTCTACCGGAAATTTGAAATAATAAAAGTTCTCTTCGAAATGTTTGGAAAGCTCGTACTAATAACATGCGAGTGAATTTTTATTGGAGAATGTATTAAGTTAATCCTATCAGCTGCATTTTACAAATAAGAAAAAAGAAAACCTTCAAAGTGCAATCAATTTTGGCTTTAAAACCATAACATGAATTCCAGATGGATTCCTCAACATCCATCACTTCCGTTATTTTCGAACCTGTCTGCAAGGATTCATTTCGACCTTTTGGCGATGACATATAAGTAGACACCCAGCGAGTAATCGTTTTAAAATAAACACACAATTCATCTTCAACCTAAATAAAAATTCGAATAATAATTCCAGCAAAAAATCGCTCCAAAATCTATGGAAAACCAAAAATAAACCTCTTGAAATGAGAGGTTCAAAGCAAAAAATTGCTCAGCATATTGTTCATGCAACTCTCTTCGCCACAAATCAAGTAAACTGTTCTCAGTAACATCAAAACCTGAACGAGTAATAGCAGCCTGAAAATAAGATAAAAAATAACTTTAAAAAAAATTTTAATCAGTACTTTCATTTTTGTATTGACTACTTTTTTAGTACAAGAACCTCACTTACTACTTTAGATACAGACAATATTTCATCTTAGTTGTGCTTACTTTTTTGTGGATAAGAAATCAGGTTATTTCACTGAGTTAATTAGGCCATCATTCAGAAAAATGGACGATGAAAACATCAATGGGAATATTATCTAAGTAGCAGTAAATTATCTAATTAATAACACATACCTGGAAGAGTTCGTGAACCACGCTTCCAATCAACATTTCCTTCCTTATACTACTTCGTCCTTTGAAGTAATGCGAAAGCGTTGCCTTCCGACGACACGAGATACCTTGCGCGATAAGTGTACATGGAACCAGCACATTACTTTCCACGATTAATACACCATTTTCCCAGTTCAACAATAATTCCTAAAAAGTAATAAGTAAACAAAACAATTTCAGTTATTTTATACTTTTAAAACAGTCCTGCACATTTTTGTATTGAAAAAAAAAAATAATTTGCAGTAACAAATTTTAATTTCATAATTGAAGAATGAATAATCATACTATAAGATTACTTTTTCTGTCATTTTAGCACCAATAACACGTAGAGAAGATCCAATCTTGATTGGAGTAGACGACCAAATTCCTTCTAATTTCAAGCGGTAACTTTTAGATGTATCTTCACAAATGCAATCCAATTCACGAATCTCATCATTATTATCATCAGAAAGCGAAATAACACGAACATTAATGATGGATGATTCAATAGACCCAAAAGGAATGAATGAATCCTGGATGTCTGTAATGAATGAATGAAAGTCATTAATTCGGATCATGCAAAAAAAAAAAAAAGAAATTCAGTAAAAATAATTCAGATAGAAAGAGGATGAATTTGCTACAATAAGTGCAATAAAGAGATAACTTAATTAGTCGTAATAAAAAAAATAGAGAAAACTGAGATGAAATGAGTGAATTTTGAATCAAACAATGATTATCTAACACTTAGGTTCATTATAAGTTGGTAACCATAACGGATGTTTTTTTATGGAAGAATTAAACAGCAATAAACGAATTGTATATGTTATATTACACATATAATGAATTATAAATATTGTATTATATAATGGAATGAAAATATGATTTAACTTCTTGATAATAATTAACATAAAATTAGATTTATATAGTTTCAGATTTTACCGGCGATTAAAATTATTATTCTACCTCGTTCCACATAATTAACTGATAAACGTTTTGGACGTTTCCGTGGTGGTGTACAATCAGTGGAAATACGATTGACAAGTGTCGTAGTTGATAACACTGAATCATTGATATCATTGGTAATAAATCCACCATCATTTTCTTTCCATGAACTGCTTTCCGGTAATTCCATTATACCATCACCGAATAAAACCTTAACTTGTAAAAAATTGATATTTGCATAAGTTGGAAAAAAACAGAAAATTAAACAGAGATAAATTCAATAATGTAATATAATATATTCATATCAGATGATAATGATAATATTGTTTAATGATTACAAATATTATTTGCTCTCAAAAAAAAAAAATTTATTCATTCATATGAAATGTCTCTTAGATTACCTACACTTCAAATGATTATCATTATATTTATCCATATCAAAAGCACTCAGAGTAATTACCATTATACTTACTTATATCCAAAATCATTCGTATACTTAATCAGTTCGTTATTCATATCAGATGATAATAATAATATTGTTTAATGATTACAAATATTACTTGCTTTCAAAAAAAAATTAACTCATCCATATGAAATATCTCTCAGATTATCATCATAGTTAATCATATCACAAACACTCATACTTAGAGTAATCATCATTATATTTACCTATACCATATCTACTCTATTTTTTCACCTAAAATATCTCTATTTCTCTTTACTCTCATAAAATATCTCTATTCCTCTATGAACAATAAATTAATCACCCATTTGGTTTATGTCAAAACCATGAAATATTTTTCATATACCTCTTATTATTACATACTTTTTATTTAGTATTTGTGTCTTATCAAAAAATATTGTTTGTCACTAATTAAAAGATACCAATTGTTACCAATTAATTAATTATCATATGCAATCATTACTTTAGTTATTCCTATAATAGTTCCCTTACCCCGCCTCCACTAAAAAAAAATCAAAAAATTTAAATTTTTAAATAAATTCAAATTCTTGGCGTCACGCCAACAATCCAAATTATAACCTAATCATCTATCGCAGCAACATCTTTACGTTTGTGTGGCCACGTACGGTCTGGTGTTGTAGGTCGAAGTGGTGTGGCGTTGACGTAGTGGTGTGGAGAATTGTCATTGCTTACTTCCTGCTAAGTCAAGTGAGGTAATGTGACGTAGTAGTGTAAGAAGCTTACTTTCCTGCTAAGTTAAGTGAGGTGGCGTGACGTAGTAGTGTGAAAGGTTATCATCGCTTACTTTTCTAATTTTGATTGTGAGTTTTTCGTAGCATATACAAGAAAATTAGTTCATCCTTTGCAGATTAACCGTACTCTGCAGTTATGTATTATGAGCGCTTAATAACTTATGAATTAAATTATTAAACATTCGTTTTTACTGTATTTAATTCTTTCAAATTGTCAGAATTATATAATTATTCGAATTTTTAGTATACAATAGAGTGTAATGTCAGATAACAAGGATATCCGAAAAGTAGAAAGTAAGGAACATGAGCAACAGCAATCTCAACAGTTCATGGAGAGGACGAAAGGAAGTGGAAGTTTGGGAATGGTAGCTGGTGAGGGCAAATCTGATAGTCAGCATGGAAGTATGTTTGGGAAGAGTTTGCGGGAAGCTTCTATCTTTACTGGTTTGTTTTTCTTTTACAATCATTTCCCATAGATGATACTTTCTGAAACTAAACAGAAAACAGGAAGCTGTAATGTATTTTAGAAGTTAAGAAGTGCGGTACAGTAATATGTCTATCAGGAAGGAAAGATGCTAGACGTTATATGTTTCTTTTTTTAAAGTAAGCACAGTTAAAGTGCTTAGGATTTCTTGATCAAATGAATTAAGTAGTAAGTTAAGTCGATTTTTTTGTCAAAAGGAAAAAGTTTTTTTTTCTTCTTTTAAGGTTCACAGTTGAATCCACTCTTTCGTTTTGGAGGCAGTTATGATGATATTTTTTCAGAAGATACTTTTTCGGAAGATGCTGTTTTGTTTGCTGAGCATGCTTCAGCTGAACAAGGGTCGAGAGATAATACATGCGATGTGACTGAATTGAAGAAAGAAAAAGTTCAGCTGGGTATGTTTGACAAAAAATTCATTACATATATCCAGTTCTGGAGCTTCCTAGCTACAGTGGGTAGCATAATGTGAAGACTTACTATTGGTACTGATAACTATGACCCTTATTTTTTATAACTTGATTCCTTTATTAATTCCATCTTTCTTGATGATGTACAAGATATCAGGCTATAAAAATATAAATTTTAGAACATGTTTTATTTATCACAAACGAAGAGTTGGATGCAGTTCGGGATAAATTATGCAGAGTTAGTGAAGCAGAAAATGCACTGAAAAAGGAGATTGAGGATTTACTGCGGGATAGAAGTCAACGGATGGCTGCGATGCGAGAATTGGAAGCTGAACGTGATCGTATATTACTTGCAAAGGTATTTGAATGACCAGTAAAATTTTCACTTCTAATTTGATTTCATTTAGATATTCCAAAATTACGTTTTTTTTTTTTTTTTTTTTTTTCTTTTCTTAGTCCTAGATCTTAATCCTGGAGACTAAAATTTCAGAATGAATCTGAGCAGAAGGCTGAGATGTTGTTGCGCCAAAAAGAGGATTATGAAGGAAAAATTAATCGCTTAAATCACGACAAATCGCTTATTGCAAGTAACTTTTGGATATAATTTTACTTTTCTTGCTAGAAGACAAAAGTTGAACTATCAGTGTTGTTATGCGTTTGTTAATGATTGAGGAAGCTTGTGTTGTAAACATTTGATATTTCAGCATATCTTGTTTTAAGTTTCAAAACAGTGAGAAGTTTCTTCATGTTTCAATGAAACATTCAGATTTCATGATTTTAGGTGGTACATTATAGCAACTTAACCGTCAAATCCATGATAAATTAGCTCACACGTGAATGTGGGTTTCAGAGAATCTTTTGAAATTTGATGATCCGTTTTACTGTATTTGCAGGCGATTTGCAGCTGCAGAAAAATGAGGTAGCGAAATTGATAGAAAAGAACGTTTCGTTAGATGTCAAACTTGATGAGTATGCCAAGCAAAAGCGAATGGTTGAGGTTGGCTGTTTCGTATTGGAAATGAATAGTGATTAAATTTTGCTATTAGCTATTGGGGATGAATATAATTCCGGAAACTTGTTATTAAATTTTAAAAAATGAATGCCTTGATTGTTTTAAAAATTACATCCTTATGGAAGCAACTGCTCATACTTTTATCTTTCGTCAATATAATTCATTTTATTTCAGTATGAAAAAGAGCGTTGGGCTCAAGAAAAAGAAATATATTTGCACAACAAAGATTGGTTTATGAATGAAATTAAAGAGCGTGATCGAAAATTTGCTGTTTTAAGAATCGAAATGGTAAAATATAGATTTTTGTGTGAGGATGTATTAGCCTTTTTCAGTAATATGATATAACAAAAGAGGAATGGGTGAGCCGATAGGAGAGTAGAAAGAAATGTTTCTTAGTGAACTGGTTTCGTAGAATATTCAACTATTTTGTCAAAAAGGTGTTTATTCATCTAGGACATAAATATATTGTGTATGATTTGTTTATGCGACTTGTTTTTCTTATTTTCTTATTCATCTGCGATTACACAAGCTTTAGTTCTCACCATCTGAATTCATTGTTAAATGAATTGACACTTTAGGAGAAATCGTTATTTTTTAACATCATATAGAAAGTGGATTACGAATCTTGATAGTTGCATTAAAATATTTGAATATTTAAATAGGATTATTTATATTAATTATATATATATATATATATAATTATATTCTGCCTGTAAAAAGAAATGACTCAACACCGCCGTGATGGCAAACGCGTAGTGTCGTAGATTGCAAGATAGACCACATTAAAAGCCTTGTAGTCAAGAGAAGTAAATGCATTATTTAAATTATCCAATCGCAGTGGGCAGTATCGCTTCTAAACGAATTTTGAAAGAAATTTTAGCAGGAAATGTTATTGAATCTTGCATTTAGTTGTTTCCTTTTTTTGGACTATAATACAAAGTTGAGCTGTAGGTACGATACACCGGTGAACTGCAAGCAGAAATAGCATCTGTTACGGACAAGTATGAATCTGCAATGAATGATGTTAAGAAATTTACAACAGCACTCGCTGATCGGGACAAGGAAATGTCTAGATTAAATGACCGTATTAAAGAGGTAATGATATCGAAATTTTAATGTCTTTGATGTCTTTTTTTTAGAGACTTAATGATCTGATGTTCATTGAACAGTATTTTATGATTCGATCTCTTTTACAGATCTTAGAAGATAATGCACAAAAGTTGAATAAACTGGAAGAGGAATTGTTAGCGAGTGAACGACTTTGTTCTGTTTACAAAGAAGCCAGTGATGATGCAGAAAATAACTTGCGGCAGCTTAATGAAGATTTTGATAATCGTGGAAGATTACTTGAAGAATCCAAAAAAGGTTCAAATGTTATTGTTTAATTTATAGTACTTATAGAATACAACTTTTTGTATATTTAATTATTACTTCTGAATTAGAAGAATGAAATTGCTACGATTTCCTTTCACCAAACTACGACTTTTATAGCTTATGAATTACTGTGCGTTGAATTTGAAGAAAAGCAAGCAGTATTCACTAAAGAAGTCGTTCAAAAAGGTTAGTTCAGATATGGTTTTGAAATCAATTTAGCAGAGAATTCTAGACCAGAATTCTCTTCTGTAGAAAAGGTTTAGGTTTAATCAATTTCAACTGCAAGTTTTCCGTACTGTTGTTGTTGTTTTACGGCAATTATCTTACCTATCATTCATTCATCCTGAAATAAGCAGCAATAGTTTGCTTAATAATATATGTGATATCTGGTGCACTCATCATATTCTTGAGCAATCTTCCTTACATCAAAAGAATGATAGTCTATCTTCTTTCATCTTGCTCTAAAATTTTGTAGCCATTTTAATGTAAACAAGTGTGTTGCGTGATTAACTTAGTTAATAAATTTCTCTCATACAAGAAAATATTTTTTAGATAAGAAAATTGAAGAGTTGTTGGACGAATTGCAGAAAGCTAATGATTTATTGAAATCTAGACATCGTGGTATTTTTTAATCTTATTTCTCTATTTGTCTTATGTTGATCAAACTTTCATATGCAATGAAATAATAGTATCTTTTCTTTAACGAAAAAAAATTGAAAATTCTAAGAGATCAATTTCTAACTTATAAAATTTTCATTGCAGTTACACTGACGGATGACGAAATAATGGAACTGTCTCCGGCAGCTGCTGCAGCATCGTCTTTGATTCGTCGTGGTGTTTCACTGACAAGTATTTATAGAGAACACTGTCGTGTTGTTGCGGAATTAGAAGAAGCAAAGGCGGAAAACAAACGTATCGAAAATTATTTCCATGAATTAGTTGAGGTATAATCTTTTCATCATGAACCGTATACTTCCAGATAAGCTGGCGTGCTTTTGCTCATATCGATTGGCAGGTGGAGCCAGTGAATACTAACTGGTCAATTAATTCATTTAAATATAAGTCATGAATATTAATATTTTTCAGGATATAGAGGCTAAAGCACCATTGCTTGCGCAACAACGTATAGAATATGAAAAGGTATCGGATTTATGCAACAATTTGCAAGAACAGCTGCAATCGGTAGAGCAAGAGCGAGTGAAGCTTGAAAACGCACGTGATGCTGCAACACGTGAGTTGACATATACTCGAGCTGAACTTGAGCGGTATCAGCGTGACGTGGAGGATTTGAATAGACAGGTAATCTCTTTCTTAATTCATTTTGCCGCATACGTATGATTTAAGTAGCTTTCTTTTTCCAATATTTTTGAATTGCATGGGCATGTATGTCAGTGTTGAATTAAGTCGAAGAGGCCGAATCATGCGCCTTCCTATAGAGGTTAATATAGAAATGACTGACCTTCAACAATGCTGCAATAAATGAAAATCTATTTGTGTCCTTATTTTCTTCTGCGATAAATTTCTCCGAAGATTGTGCAGATTCTTTTAGGTTCGCCACTTGCTGCATGCATCAGAAGTTGAGAGGGCGCGCAACACGGATTCTCCGCCAATGAACGATGAAGACCGCGATGTGCTGTGGAATTCAATTGGTGAAATGCAGAAAGTGAACCAGAAATTGATGTCCGATTTACGCACAGCTAATGCTAATCGGGACCGCGCAGTAGAGGAGGCTAAAAGTGAAGAGTATGTTGAACAGTTTTTTTCATTTTTCTGATCGTGTGTATTCACTGTTTCATATTTCAAAATTGATAAATATTTTAATTCAAATTTTCTACTTTCTAGGATTAACCGACTTACCGATGCTCTCAATGATGCTATCAAGAAGTTGGATTTTCTCAAAGATGAAAATTCAAAGCAGAATATGGTAATTGAAGAACTAGAAAAACAACGTGATACATATAAAAAAGTTGGTAACGAAAGAAAAACTTTAGAAGAGGTATCTTTTTTCCCGTGTTTTTGATTTCTTTTTTCAGGATAATTACGAATCAAATATTCAGGTTAAAGAAGTTTATAGTTTCATTTCTTTTTCCACTGGCATGGTACTTCCCTAAAATGGACGGCAACCTGTTTCCACATTCATGATTAAAATATGGAATAGATGGTAGTGTTATTGTGAAAAATCTTATTTATAGAAATCTTATGTTTTAGTCCCATGCTATGAACAAACGAATTCAAGAAGCTAACTCTGAGAACGCAATATTGCGAGTGCATTTGGAACGAGCGGAAAAAAGCTTAGATCTGTTTCGCGAGGAAAAACATCATTCCGATAAGTCAGTTATCTGTTGATTTATTTTTATTATTTTGTTTTTTGTCTGGATAGGGAATTAAGTAGTATCATTTTAATACATTTATATGAGAGTTTTTTAATCCATATTTTTCTAAATTCTGAAATTTTAAATAAACTTAATTTAAACAAACTTTATTTAAGGCTTCTGCAAGAACGAATTGATCAGCAGTTTGCTTTAATTGCGGAATTACGCAAAACAAACGGAAAATTGGAAGCTGATGTTGAAGTACAGAGACAGACACACCTGATGCTTACAAAGCAAGTAAGAAATCACTTTACTGCTTAAAAATGCTCTATGGAAGTTCTCTATTTCCTGAAACAGCGTGTTCAATGTTCAATGTTAGGTAATAGCATCGTTGTGAAGTATGCGTTAGCTTGAAACTTTATTAGGAATCTAAGCTTGAGATTTTTTTTTGCTTTTTGAGACATGTAAAAGGAAAAAGTGCGCCTCTTGTTATCAATTTATCGTTTAATATTATATAATTGCTATAAAGGAAGTTGAGTGACAACTAACAGTTTGCGTGCAGTTGCAAATTATGCATTGTGCTTTGTTTTTACAAGAAAGAACCTTGAACTTAACATGAGTTATAGGAAATACGTAGAAATGATGTCTGAATAACGTGAATGGGCCTAAGATTAAAAGTGAATAACGTAAATGAAAATTCTTTCTTTATTAATTTAGTTAGTCTTTTCCAGTCAGAAAGTGATTCCAACGAATTAAGTTTGATCCGTGAGAAATATATCAAAATGGATAACAACTACAAGATGGCTGATGAGCGATGTAGGAAGTTACAGGAAGAACTCATGGAAACGAAAGCAGAAGTTGCTAAATATAAGTTCGTTTTTAATATACTATATTAGGATGTTATTCACAATACAACTTTGAATAATATCGATTATAGAGTTTGAGAGTATTTGTTTGTCAAATATCATATATTTGTTTAAAATATTCGTTATATGTTATATTTCGTTCGTATTTTCAAAATATTAAAGGAGATGAACTTTTCTCTGCAGGACTGATGTGGAAGCTCTTATGGAACAGCTTTCGCTTCTGCGAAGCAGAGAAGCCCGATTACAGCAGGAGTTGCATATTCTACGAGAATCAAATTACAGTAATGAAAAAATGTCGGTTACTTTAAAGCAACTGGAGGTTATTATTTACTTTCTTAGTTTTCGGTTTTTTAAGAGAGGTTCAATTTTTTTTTTTTTGGTTTTGAAGTACTAAATGATAATCTTGCATGATCATTTGGGATGAAAGTGAAGATGGGTAAGGGTTTATATAGGGAAAATAGGTTTTATGTTGTTTCGGATTAGTAGGTATTATCGGAAACTTCTTTTCAGAGTCGTCTACAACATAATGATGAAGAAAAGGTGAAAATTCTCGAGAGTCAGCTAAAACTTGCCAAAAATGAAAATGAATCTTTGAAAAAGTTTGTTAGTGAAATTTCGGAACAGCATCGTTTGATCAGTTTGGATTTGAAGGTATGTTTTTCCCAAATTTTACGTTTTTATGATTCATGAGTGAGTGCAAATGGAATTACTTTGTCATTCAGAATCGAATTTCTAAGAAGGTTGATTTCAGATGACAACAAATAAAATCCAAACGGAACGTGACCAGGCCCTGGCAAGCAAAAAATCAGCAGAAGATCGATTAAGTTGGAAAGATAAAGAATTAAATGAATTGCAAGCAAAATATGATGACTTGATGAATCAGTTGAAAACACCAGATACATCTCTTGGTAAATGAATAATTATTAAATTTAAATGAATAGTAATTGCAATCACTTTCCCCTAATCAAACGAATTTGGTATGAAATTGTTATGGTTTACTCAGTTTTGTCTTGATTTCAAATTTTATTGTATTATTATGCGCACATAATCTCAGTTTATAATTTTCCAGAATCTACTGATGGCGGTTGTAAAAAAGAAGCACAACAGCTTCGAAATCGTAACAGTTATTTGGAAAATCAGTTGAAGGACATGTCTCACAAGCTAGAAGGTTTCTTTCCTATTATGAACTGTTAAAATCTTGCACATATTTTATGGAATAACATATATTCTTGATATTGGGATAGTCATCATATTTTCACAAAACTTTTCCTCTGAAAAATGGATAGCATTGAATCACTGCGAATTGCTAGAAAATGGAAATTCTGGTAGGGTTTATGTAGTACTGTGCTATCGGGGAAGCAATTCGTTAAATGATCAAGTCACCATAGTCAGTGGAAACAAAAATGTTTTTGAATCCTTGTCAGAATGTTATATGTTTCTGAGAAATTTTGGTTTCCAGCAAGTGAAAAAATGCTGTTGATACGTGAACAAGAACTTGCTGAAATTAGCAAATTGAGTAATAACATGGAAACAACATTACTGGAACAGGGAGCAGTAAGTTAATTTATTATACTTCTTTATTTGTTGCATTCATTATTTTACTTGTTATAGTCAATGAATTCAGTCAAATTTTGAATTATTTTCTCACAGAGCGCTCTTGCGGAACGAAACAGCCTACAAGCGATGCTGGATTTGATAAAAGGACAATTAGCTGAAAGGTCATTACACTTTTTTTCGCCATATAGTTGGAGATATTAGAAGACGAAGTATTAATTGGATTTTGATCGTTGCTTAGTAAGAGTTAAAATTTTAGGCAGTTTATGCTGAAATTTTGTTAGCGTTATATCATTGTAAAGTGGTAAAACTACAGCATGGAACTAGCGAGTAAAATAATAAATTAAGTGCTGTGTTTAAACATAAAAGCTTAGTTAAAAAATTAGTGTGAAAATCATAGCTACAGTTGAAGAGGCGAGCAATTGTTTATGTAGATAGGACCAATGAAGTGTTCTTTAGTGTGACAGCAGTCGAAAATCAACGCGAAAAAATTGCCGTGTTGGAACAAAAGCTACAAGAAGTAGCCACTGAAAAAGAGCAGCTGAAGATAGAGCAAATGAAAGAATATCATAGTCTGGAGAAACGATATAGCATTTTGGATATACAGAGAGTTAACGCTGAAGCCCGGATACATGAACTGGAATTAGAAAATGCGAAAATTGCTGCTGCAAAAGTTTCGGTATATTCAAAATTTTTTCTTTCTGCGCAATTTTGATATGGTATATTATAATGATATTGATTTCAGCATGTCATTTCTTTTTTGCATTTGAGTTTAAAAGCAGAATTCTCTATGATATCCGTCCTTCCATGATAAATTATGATTGTGGAATTATTTGAGATAGTTGATAGTAATAGGTTCGATTCTTGTTTAGTAAAAGTTAAAATTTTGGACGATTTAAGTAAAATTTTTGTTATAGTGTTACACTGTGAAAAGGATGTGATAACATCGAAATACCGAGTAAAATAATAAATGCGATAATTAATGATGAGATATTTGAAACAAAATTAGTATCCCCTCTTTGGATAATAGAGGACTAAAACAGTGAACATATTGAGCGTATCATTTTAATTGTCTAAGAATTTTGTTTGTGTAGTTTGATGAAGAAAGAAGTCGAATAAAGGAAGACATCGACAAATTGGAGCAAGCGCTTCATGCTAAAGAGGCTGAATTGGTGAATTTGAAAAACACTGCAGTCGAACTTGAGCAGAAATCTGAAGATGTTAGGCGAAGCTGTTCATCGGAAGTGGTTTGTGATCCTCGATTCTTTTTACTGTTTTCACTGTTTTTTTATTTTACAAGTACATTTCTACAATAATTTTTATTTTACAAGTACATTTCTACAATAATTAAACGGTTTTCAGGCTGCACTTCGTGTTGAAAGGAATCGTTTTGAGGAAGAACTCAATTTAGCTAATAAATTGATTGAGGAACAAAGGCAGAAACTTGAGGAATTGGGTGATAATTTGGTAAAGGTGAACGTTTCTGGCATATAACCCTAAATACATACTTTAACTTGTGTCTTGGTGTTGACGATACATTGTAACAGTCTTTTCAGTTCAGTTGTTTCTGTGGTAGAATCTTAGAAACTGCTAGTTTTTGTGAACCAAGCAAATGTTAAACGATATAATTAGGACAACTATTTAAGGCTATAGTGTATTTAAGGCTATAGTGTTTGATTTTTGGATTATGTTTATCTTCAATAATTCGTTGTAGGTAACGGAACGTATGGCAATCCTGGAACGTTCTGGAAGCACTTCAATTTCCAGTGATGATGTTGTTTCACCTGTTGGTTCGAAATCAGCTGCTGCATTGCATGAAGTCATCAAATATTTACAAGGAGAAAATCGACAAGTAGCATCGACTCATATCTTTTCTGAACCATATTGTGTTTTAAAACTTACAAATCAATAAATTACCAAAATATTGGTGATTATTTAATTTTAGTTGTGTAAATTCATTTAGTTTAGTCTATGGAACGAATGATGAATGCTGAACTGCAGTGGAAGCGTTTGCAAGTTCAGCAAGCTACGGCTGACGAGCATCGATTGAAATTGGAAGAAGAAATTCAAAAACTTCGGAAAGAAGCCGAAGTTTGTTTATTTTACCTTATTGATTTGCTCTATTATTCATTGTGAATTTAAATTTACATTTTGTTTTTTTTCCTAAACTCATCAGAATTTATTCTCCATAATGCCAAATTACTCATACTTAAATTAGTTTCTATTAATTGCCTAAATTATCATATTTCCAGGCACATGTTCGTGCGATTGCGGAAAAAAGTGAAATGGTAGCTCGATTGAGTTTAATGGAAGATATCCAGAAGGAAAATCAGAACTTGAAAATGCAGAATGAAAAATTGACTCGTCATACTGAACAGCTGTCGAAAAATGTACAGTCTGTTTATAATAACTGAGGACTGATGTAAAAACTTTGAACAGAAAGTTATAACTTGGTTATATCTTCATTTTTTTTTTTCAGATAAATGATTTGCAAGTACGTGTTTCTAGTTTGAGTGCAGAAAAAGTTACGGAAAGGGGAAGATTGCAAAATGTTTCTGCTGACTTGCAAACTTGCCGAAAGGAAGTAATGTTTTTCTTATATTCCGTCAGTTTTTGAGTACTCCTGTTTTAGTTTTTTTGATTATTATTGGATAGGCGATGTTCTAAGCGATGTTTTAAGGAACTCTAAGAAAACCGATTCTTTATTTTATTTAATGTTAAATATGTCGAAGTGCTCTTTCAGCTCGAATCCTGGAAAGAAAGGCACAATCAAGCTCTGATTTCGTTGGGTAAATTTGGACCCGAAAGAGTAGTTGCTTTAAAGTATAGTTTTTTTTTTTTTTTTTTTTTCATTATGTCTTTTCTCGATTATTTTCTTATTTTGATTTAATTTTCCTACCTTCTTGCCTACTAAAAATGTTTAAAATTTTAGTAACGAAGTCGAATCACTAAAACGCAAGCTAAATTTAATAATAGCGGAGCGTGACTCGTTGAAAAAGGAAATAGAAAAATCTGTTCAAGAATCAACATTTAAGTAAGTTTCATCATATTTAGTAAACAACAATAATTTTGCGCTATTTTACGGTTTTTCATCTCACATTGATTTATAAATTTATCTTGCAAGTATTGTTGCTAATGCCCACTGTATTATTTCTTAATAAAGCTGTTAAGAATATTGTTTCCAGAGACGCTCTAATGGATATGCAGAAGAAATTTGATGAAAGTGAATCGGAACGGCTTAAACTATCAGCAAAATTTGAGCAAGCTAGATTACTTGCACGTCGATATAGAATGAAATCTCAAACATTGGAAAAAGACGTTGAAGGATTGAAAGCGATGCTGGCGGAGAAATCAATAGTAGAGGAGGAAAATACTACCGAAACTGCAAGATTGAAGCAAGAATTACTTTCATTACGAGCTGAGATTGAGAAACAAAAACAACAGGTGATGCAATTTTACATACAGTAGACCATTTTATGAAGTTTTCAGCTTGACTTTTCAATTGATCTTCTGATCTGTTTGCAGGAAGTTAATTAGCATTCCTAGCATGATTTTTGAATTTGAAATCCTTTTTTCAGAAAGTTGTACCACGAACTGGTTGGCCAGTTGATATGGGAACGAGTGGTACACAGCCAGCGAAAGCAAGCACAATTCTTCAAACACAGCTGAAACAGCTGGAAGGACTTAATCAGCAGAATAAGGTTGGAATTTCTTGCCGTTTCTTAACTTAGAAATTAGTGAGTATTTTAACTTGGAGTGTACGAATGGTAGCCGAATGAAACTATGAAATACTTTGTAAAAGGCTTATAGTTTTGGTCTTCTATATGCTTTATTATTTACGGTTGAATTAGTTGTCACTCATTGGAATCATCTGAATTTGCCTACTGACTTCATCATTTTTTTTATTAATCTCCTGCAAACTTTTGGAAATATTTCGCCTTATTTTACCTTATTACCCAGAGCTCGTCTTCCTATCATTGTAACAAGTCTTTATGAGTGGATTCTTTTATTATCTGCTGAAACTTTTTTTTGCATCAGTGACGCTTTCTTACCCAGTTATAGATTGGATTGATTTTAGGATTTGTCGAAGCAATTGGAAGAGTCTGCTGAAAAATACAAGGTAGCGCAGGCAAAACTGAACGAGGCCGAGGCTAAGTTCCGAGAATTGAAAACAGAAAATGATACGAAGGGTATGTATTTCTTGAGAAGAGAATATTTTCAGTTCTTTCCATATATATATATTCTGTAGTTTTTATTAATTGCAATAGTTTATCTGCAATTATTTGATATTTTCGTCCTCATTTTCTAGGAATATATTTTTGTAGAAGAATTACGTTTTCGATTAAATTCGATTACAAGTATGTTAACCAAGAAAGAGCAAGAAGTGGCTCGACTGCGCGAAGAACTTGAAACAGCTAAGCAATCGGATGAAGCTTATCAAGGGAAAATAAAAGTATTGGAAGCTGCATTGGACACTTGTCGTAAAGAAGCCAGCAATCGCCCTGGTTTTTCCGGCACGGCATTCGCTAAATCTGTTAGGTATTTTATTTTTTTTTTTTTTTTATGAATAACTGTCGAATTCTATTTTTGATGTGACTCATGCTTGTTTAGTTTTTTGTTTATTTATTTAATTCGAGGCGCTCTATGAACTCTTCTAAAGTTACAGACGTTGTTTGCTACGTTTTTATTGCACATAATTCTCAATGTTTTCCCCCTACATATAAACGAATACGAATAATATATATATATATATATATATATTCAATTGCTTTTTTTTTTCTTTTTTCTATCGATTATTTTGTAATGTAATGCTAATTCATATGGAAACTAATCGATCTCCTCAGTTGCTTCCTCCAAGGCGAAACTGTGTAGTAGTTACGATTTATGTTGACTTTCTTAATGGTTTGAATTTGGATTTCATTGAAGTGTTTCTATAGCTCGTCCACGCCTGTGATTTCTCAAAGTCAGAGCTCTTCTATTGCTGCGCCTCTTGCTACCAATATTGCTGGAGCAGATTTTCTTTCCTTATCCAAAGAAGGTAAATTATTGTGTTGAGAAATATGCTTAATTCTTAAACAAATATTTTGTACTGCTTTGATAGTATGGCATCGTTTATACGGAAAATTTATGAGCTCAGAATCCGAATGAGCTAAATAATAATATACTTTTTTCAATTCTTTTAAATTTCTTTTGGATTATTACTAAGGAAATATTTTAGTGAAAGGATTTTTTTCCTCCATCTACTTTCTTTTGCTGTGTGAAAGGTTATAGATAATTATATTTCAGAAACACCTACGACTTCGCATTCAATGCCGTGTGTTAAACCTGTCGCAACGGTAGATGTTACTCAGATTGAGAAGTTTGGAGACACGAAACAAGAAGTAACAGTGGTTGGAAGTATTGAAGAGCACGAAGCACATCGAAGCACACCTGTATCAACAACTAGTGAACAGGTATTGCTACTTTTAATATACCTATCCATGTAGCAAAATTCTAGGATTCATTTGAAAATTCAAGATGCGTTTTTGCATATTATAAGCCAGGCTTTGATATTTTTTAACATATTATATGTTCTGGTTTTTTTTTTAAACATATTATAAGTCATGCTTTGGTACAGATAATTAACCATTAGCTTCTAAGTGTCTCTTTAGCTTTTTTGCTTCATCTGCTATTCAGATTGTAACTTATGCATGATGAATCGGATTCTGCAGTCGCTTCTCATGTATTTTTTGCTGTTCCTACATCCTAAAACTTCAGAATTTTGAAACAGTGTGACTGAGAGTTGTGTTGGGATAAGCGATATGGAAATTATGCAACTTCATCTGAACTGTCATTTCAGTAGTTTTTAAATCTTAACTCAGTGTTTATTTTTTCAATCTTTGGAGAATGTTTACAAATAAAGTTTCTTTTGCAGAGTAACACTGTGAGCCAATCTTCTTCTGGCGATATTATGCAAGTACGATTACAGCAACATAATGGTTAGTTTGCAAGTTTTTTAGTTAAGAGTTATGATATCTTTTAAACCTTCCATCGACTGCCACACACAGTACTGCGAACTGTATGATGATATTGTATGACAGCTTTTGGTGGAAGATTCCATTACAATGGTCTAGGATTTTGCGTAGCGAATAATTAGTTTATAATTAACATGTATTTTTTAATTTAGTATTGCTTTGTAGTTACTTCTGGTAATGGTAATGGTGATGGAGCCAATATCATAACAAGTAGTGTGGCAGGTGGGGATATACCAACTGCAGTTCAAGGAATGGTGTTGCAAGTGGGACCACAAGGAATTTCGATGAACCGCAATGAAAATGAAACGTCAAGAAAGCGAACATACATACCATCAAAGTTGTTTTTTCTCATCGTTTTCATGTCATTGTTCTTTCTTATCATTTTAATGCTATCCTCATAGTTTTCTTGATTTCGTTTGAATGTTTGATTTAACTTACAATTTTTAGTGATCAAATTGAAACTGGATCGGATGTTTTAGAACCGCGAAAGCGCTATCGAGGGAGTCCGATGGGACAGGTATGATTATTTTTTGTTTTTGCAGTTTTCCTTTTATTTTATTTCTAATTTATGAAGATTTGCTTTACTCCGGATTTCTGTAAAAATCGCTGTTGGGAGAGGTGGGAAAGAAAAATAATTGATAGACGAGATTGGTTAAAGTAATAGAGACTCGTGTGTTTTCTAGCTCTGAAATTAAGCAAACACTGACTTTCTTTGTTTTGAAGGTATCCACAAGTGGGCGTTTCATGAAGTCAGGTAGTGAAATACGAGTTGACATCGAACAGCATGCTACCGATGAAGCTGAACATGAAGAACAAGAAAATGGTTAGTTTAGTGGTGCAGAGTGGGAATGGCATTTTTAATACAATGCTATTGTTATATTAATTAGATAAATGGTATGATTGATTTGTTGAATTATATTTTAACAGTTGAAACAACTACAAATCCTGAAGGCGACCGATCAGATGGTATGAGAACAAATGAAACGGAGAAGAATACTAAATCAGCTGTTAAAATCCAGGTTTCTTAAGAAATATTAATTTGAATTTTTGTTAACTCCCGGTTTTCTAAGTGTCAAATGATAAGTAATGAAAAGTAATTTAGTTTCAGTTTCAATTCATTCTATTTTTAATACCCACTGATGTCTTTTTTTTTTAGATTTAAAATGATATGTACAGAATTCTCAATGCAGCACCACATTTGATCTTGAAAATTTCATTATTTTTGCAGGAAGCGAGAGCTGATGCCAGTTATGAAGCGGTTGGTGAAGGAGTGGCACAGGAAGAAGGGCACGTTGAGGATGAGCATATGGAGGAAAATGAGCATGATGTTATAGTAGGTGATCTTGGACGAGAAGCTTCAGCAGATGAAGATAATCTTAGTGAAGAAGCGGTTAGCGAAAAGACTAAATTTCGGAATGTATTTGGTACTTCCTCATCAGAAAATTATTTTTGCTGCAGTTGATTACATTTGTAATCAGGGAATTAGAAAATTTTCTGATAAAGTTATATTTTTTTTTTAATATTTACGAGTCATTTTTACGCGTAAAAGATAATCTCCAAATTTTTTAGGGTGATGAAATGTTAGAAGAAATGGAGGATGAGGAGTTTGATGAAGAGGAACCGGACGAAGAGGGTGAATTTGATCTACCTCCGCATTATAGAAGATCTAATTACAGCGCTTCCCGAGGTGGACAGCACTTAGTTAGTTCTTGTTAAATGTAGTTTTATAAAGTTTTGAAGTATTCAAGATTGGCAGACTTTTCTTATTTCGTCTGGCGTGCATAAAAATTTAGGAACTTTAAATTATAAATTTTCTAAAAATTGGGCTTTGTAAATTTATATCCCTGTGGTGTTTTCTGAACTATTTCTGTTTCTCGTTCTTCTAATACATGTCTTATGATTCTTTTTTTTTTTTTTTTTTTTTTTTAATTAGATATTGTAAGTTTATTTTTATAAGACAAATATCTCGCTTGTGAAACGTATATTGTTCCGGGGCTATTAATATTTGTTTTAATGAGTTTTTTCAGATTTAAGTTACCTATATCGTTAACTTTTTGCTTTCTAGATAGAATAAACTAATCTTGATGTGTTTTGAGTTCAGGAAACTTTCATCTAATTGTAAGGAATTTGCAGGAATCAGGAAATGATGGTGATGATGACGATGGTGTTATTTTAATAGAAGATGACGATGATGATGGTGGTGAAATGGAGCATTCACAGTCCCCAGCAGATCTTTCTACGGATGAAGCACATGGTGGGGATCACAAACATTCAGTAGCTATTGTGGTTGATGATGATGTAGAAACGAGCTCTACTAAAACTCGTGAACGCGCTCAAGGTTTGCTCTTTTCATTCCAAATTTTTGTATTTCTAAGCTTAAATAGCGCATTAATTTTTCCTAAAACTATAAAATTAGTGAATCAAATTATTCCTGTTCTCTTGTTTTACCATCTGCAGTGTTTTATTTCCATTTGTAATGATTTCTTTAATACATTAGGCGAATCCATTCGTCGCTTGGAACTCAGATTGGAAGCCGCTGCAGAGCAGTCTGGTTCTACCTCGAATATGGATTCGTCAGCATCACAGGCTTTTGTTGTAGATCATACGGATGAAGGTGATACAAGATGTTCCGAGTATGTTTCTTTTTTTTAACTTTAAAATTTATTTCCTGAAATCTGTAACTTTTATGACGCCTGATAAAGTTTTCCAAATAATCTGCTACTCCTCATTCTAGGCATTGTAATTCAGAAGCGCTTTATGTACCATCTGTAGAACTTGATTTGCACTCTCATTCATTGGATATAGCTTCGCAAGATAGTGGTGATGGTGAGTTATTTTTTTCAACTAGATAAATCTTATTTTTACTGACGAAACTGAAATCTAATACAATTTTAAATGCTAAGACATAATGACGTTGCTTCATTTAGTTGTATCTGGTTCAGAATTGCATGCAGTACGTGATTCGCCACCGCTTATCGGTACATTTTTTTTTTTTTTTTTGACTGTGTATCTAATATTTACATATAGCTTTTGGTATGAATATTGATGTATTCTGTAATAAAATTTTTTATAGTGAGTGCTGAAGTATGGTTTTAAGATCATTGCTATTGTAAGATGTTTTTACATAAGCAAGCGGTAAATTATTTGTTTGTATGTTTTCTATAAATTGCGAGGAAAAATATTTTAGAAAACATTGAATCCGATAGTCGTGGAGCGTCAAGTACAGTTGCTCCGATAACAGGTACAGATGTTGATAGTGGTGAGAGTGAACATGCACTGATAATTGAAGAAGGTGGAAATGATGTAGCCGAAGAGGAGCAAGGAGACAGACACGCTACACAGACAGACGATGAAGCAGCATCCTCGGGACCGAGTACATCAGATGGACCAACATCAAGACGTATTAGAATACGGTATCCTGATATAACAGAACCCACTTCAAGCAGGTAATACAGTTCTTGAGCATAAAGCAAACAAGTCACTGCTTGGGTAGCAAGACCATCCTATTTAATGTGTTAGCGTGTAGTAGTTAAGCCATAAATGGCAAAAAATGAGGACTTTTGACTTTATGATATCCCATATCCACTATTAAGTCAGGAAATTGATAATTGAAGTTGACATATAGTTTGGACCATCTTGGAATTTGAATGATCCAGCAATTATTTATCATCGCTTTCTCTGTTAACAAAATATTTTATCAGATTAAACGACTTTTATAATAAATATGTCGTGAACTAGTATTGTTAACATACCGATTTTAGCAGTGATACAATTCATCAAATCTCGGGTTCTTTGCAACGCGGGGGACGTACCACACTGTTGCGTCGTGGACGTGGATATCGTATGTAATAAAACTAATATGGACTCAAAAGTTTAATTTTGGAAAGAATCATATATCTAGAGTTATTGATATTATTTTTCGGAAACATATATTCATGTCTCTGTCTAAAATCTATTTTTTTTTTTTTATACAAAGCAGAGTTACTTCTGGCATCTTTTTTTCGATATTGGCTGTGTTGGAATTTGACTAGCTTTTAATGGAAATTTTTGAAATTAATTCGATTGCAGATTTTTTGCTTCGCATAAGTTTCCGTACAAATGTGCACTTGAAAAAAAAGAGAATGACTTTAGATGACTACTTAAAGTTCTTTTTACACATTGCTGAATGTTTCTAAAAATTTTTTCTCATGAATTTATGAAAACAAAACGTTTTGGATGCGAGTGTAATTTATACTAGTCTATAAGTATATAAATGAGTTCCTCTTTATAGTTCCCTTTTTCAGCTTGTTGAGAACAAGTTGTGCATTTTGTCGATTTTTTTATTTGTAGATTTTTTTCTGATCATTTTTCCGTTCACTTTTATTTTGTGTGAGGAATAAAATTTATATTGCGCTTTATATTTTATATTGTGAGCAAAGATCAGTGATAAACTAATCGTAATCATTGGTAAATGAAGAATTATGTTTGATGTTTAAGAGAGTGAGACAAGGACGTTTATGGATACAAAAATTTTTCCTAGCTGGATTTTATTACTGTTCTATTTAATTCGCTAAATGACCCTTATGACATATTCCGCGAGAATATTTAATTACTTGTAACTTAGACCTAGCATGATATCAGAGCGATCATTGGACAGTGGTGATGTTTGGATTGTATTTTTTTTTTTAGAGGAGATCAGTAGTAGTCATGGTTATATTGATTGATCAATTAATTGTAGTATGCGGCTTTAATGGTTAATTAATCATTGATCAGTAAATTGCACATTTATTTCTTTTATAAGACTGCTCCTTAGCTAGTTGTGTTTGTGTATCAAATATTCAACTTAAGCATTGAATTTTTATTCTATGGGTCAAAAAATTTTCTTATTTAATTGTATCAGTGATTTTCAAATTAGCCGTTATTTATTATGTTATAGTGTTTAGCAATAAGAGAAACTGACAAAATTATTATCATTGATCAATCAATCACTGAAATCATGAATTTTTAGACTGTTTATATAAAAACCTGTTTTTATATGAAAAAAAAAAAAAAAAACGAAAAATCTATTTTTAATGAAACAATGCAATGATAATCAATGTGAAAGGATGACATAAAATTAGTGTCTTGTAAAAGTGAATTTGTTTTAAAATCGTAAAATTAAAACAATTCTCAATAAACTGTACAAATTGTGAGCGCATAATATTTCATTTAATTGCTATTGCCATTATTTAATTGAAATAGCTATCTAATTAATTAATATTACCTAGGAAAAAAAATTATTAACAAATAATTTCTATTTTTAAAATAATTATGAAATTTATGATAATAAGTTCTATTATTAAAATAATTATGAAATTTATAATGTTTATCATTTGATACGGAGAGAGAGAGAGGAAAAGAAAGAGAAATAAAGATGCAATGAGAAAATGAAACATAGGTATTTTCTAAATAAATTTAAATTAAATGAGATAAATGTTAGAATTTTATTTTTATGAATATTTTATTTAAAAAATTAAATCAATTCATTGACTGCATATGATAACATTGTCAATTTTAAAAAATAAAAATTAAAAACTACTACAATACATAACTGTTACTGTTTTTTAATGACTGAAATAAAATTCCAGTTTTTGTTACGTTATCAAGTGTTTTTTTTTAGCTTTTTTTAAAAAAAAAAAAAACTATGAAATTTGCTCTTTTCTGTTTTGATAATACTTAAAATATTATCATGTTATATTAACTCTGAACAATAACTGGTTACTAGTATTATAATTATACTTATTATTATTATTATTATCATTACTGTTTCTTATTCTTTTCTTCTTTATTGAGAATTTTCAAATAAGCATATAAATTCATTCATTTCATCGTATTTTAATAAGGTGACAAAAAAGGATAGACAAGATAATAAATTGAGAAGAAAAAAGAAATTCAAAAAAAAAAGAGAAAGCAAAAATGAAAATTAGATAGACAGATGAAAAGTCAAAAAAAAAAAAGATGGAAGAAAAATAGCTTTTCTTTTTTTTTTTTGCTGATAAGCAGTGTAAATTATTCATAACGTTTTTTTTTTTTTTGTGAAATAAATTTCATTGCAAAATATTGAAATTAAAATTTTATTTGAAAATAATTCATATAATTGAAAGAAATAAAAAAAAAAATTTTTTTTTTCCTTTTAAAATAATTTTATTTGCTTTTTTTTTTCTCTTATTCAAAAATATTTTGCATATTTTTTTAGTGAAAAAAATAAAAAAGAAATTAATATTTAAATTTAGGCATTAATTTATTAAAATGTAATAATGTTTTGGTTACGATAAATTAAGGCAAAAGGAATATGCATTTTAATTTAGTGTATGAATATTTTCTGAATAATAAATTAAGAGTAAAAAAATAAACTTATTCCATGATGATAATAATTAATCTTCTTTCTATTTAAGCAATGAATGAAACGAACTATTATTTATTGTTGCTTTTTGATTATTTAAGCATTTAATTCAATTATGAGTTAATCTAATTCATTGAATTTGATAAAATAACTTTTTCTTTTTTTTTTTTGCTTTTTGATAAAATATAATTTGAAAAAAATATATATAAACACATATTTATGTGTATATGAAATGACAGGTTAAAAAGGAAAAAAAAATTTTTTTTTTTTTTTTTGAAATGACAAATGCTAATTTAAAATTTATTTACCATTTTACAAAAGGACAAAGAATTGTATGTGAGTTAGTGAAAAAGTTCAATTATATAATATATACTCATTTCAGTTTTTTTTTTTTTTGGAATTTTTTCAGTTTGTTAAGAAATAAAATGAAATTCGCTCATTACTATTGTTGACATCGATTGCCTTCCTTTTTTTTTAAAACACAAATACTGAAAACCTTTTTCAAACATACACATACACACATACACACATACACACATACATACACATACACATACATACATACACACACACACACATATATATAATTTACAAACATTCTTTCCATCTACTTTTTTTCCTTTTTAAAAATTTTCATCTACCCACTCATTTCCCCTCCTCTCATCCTATTCCTATGACAGTTATGCGTAAAAGTAACTTCCGATTCTTTTAGTTGCTGGCGCAAATTGCCTTCTATCTCATAACCTTTCCCACCCATTTCCTGTCATCTTGCGGGTATATTCGTCCAATCAGCTCATCCAAACAAAATTACCAATTAATATTTATAAAATGATAAACAATATTTTATCAGTAATTGAAAAATTCTTTTTTTTTTTTTTGCTTTATCATTTGCTATCAATAGAAATATTAGAAAAATTTTTCATTTATGAGTAATATATGATTAAAGAGGAAATATTAAAAATTTTTTAGTAAATAAGTAATAACAATAATCTCTAATGAGTTTGCAAAAATTTAAATTAAAAATGATTTTAGTGTTTATTTTGATTAGTAATTTCATCTTTTCTCTTTTACTTGTCAGTTAAAAATTTTCAATTTCTTTTCTCTTTCTTCTTTTTTTTTTTTTTTTTTTGAATTCAATGTTTTCTTGATTAGCATTCTATTTATAGAAATATAAATGCAAGCAAATTAACTCATTTCATAATATACTCTTATGAGAGTTTAGTTTTTCATCTTCCTTTTTCTCTCTCTCTCTCTCTCTGCTTTTTTATACTATTGTAGAATTGAATGATTTGTTTATCATAATATATAACACTTACCAAATAAATGAGATATTTAAAATTTAATTTCTCTTATTTTGTATGATAAGAACCATTTGGAATTTTAAAAAATTCAAAACAAATGAGTTCTTTAAAATTTATTTATTTTTTTTTTTATTTCTGGACTTTTTCTAAATTGTAAGTGGAAAAGAAATGAAAGAAATTAAATTTCAAATATCATATTTATTCAAATTTTTTTTTTTTAATTTTAAATCATTATTTTTGATTAAATTTAATATTTTAAAATTAAAATTCTTAATGAGGCATATTTTAGAAAATGTAGAGTATTTATAAATTTAGATGAAACATCTTTTCCCTTTTTTTTTTTTGCTTTTATTTTCTTTTAAAGATCGATAGATTAACGATAATTTTAATTTGTAACTTATCATTGCAAAATTACAGCAATAAATCAAACCAGATGTGATGACGCTACTTACGTCACATTCCGATCAAATTCAATCCACCACCACTCCAAAGTAACAATTTTTTTTTTTTTTTTTAAATTGAAATACTTGATATTTAGTGAAAATGAATAAACTTTTAAATTTCCCCTTCTTTTTCTCTCTTTTTGTATGTCCCTTCTCTCTCTCTTTTTCCCTCTTTCTTCTTTTCTTTCTTCCTCTCTCTCTCTCTCTCCACGTTTTATCAGTATTTTATTTTAACATTGATCAAAAAAGAAATTAAATTTCTTAAATTGCTTTTTTTTTTCATTTTTAAACTATTACTAATTATTAAATAAACTTTATTTTCTCCATTATCAATATAAACTTTATCTTATCCTTTTCCTAATTCATTTATCATATCATATAAAATATGTTTTTTTAAGAACTATAATATGATAAATTTATTTTCAAAAAAAAAAAAGTTAAACAATTGAGGATTTCAACAAGATCAGTACTGATCAATGAGAAAACAGAAGATGTAGAAGAAAATATCACTAATCATGATAATGATAAGAAAGAAGAAGATGAAGAATGTGGTGATGCATTACTGGATGGTTATCCGGTTGATCTGGAATTTCATCATGCCGTACATCAACGAACGGAAAGTTTTCGTGCATTTTTCCGACGTTAGTTTTAACTCAAATTATCATTATCATTTTACTATTAAATGATTATCATTCTATATAATTATGTAAAAATTTTATTTGTAATCATTTTATCAATTGTTTTTTTTTTATTATTTTTAAAATTTAAAAATTTTCCTATCTTATATTATCAGATACATATTTATTTTAAATCGTTAAAATTTTAAATTTTCAAGCTTACATAAAATGAAGTAAAATAAATTTGAAAATAAGTTAAACAAAATTATTTCTTCATTTTACATATGAAAATTAAAAAAAAAAAAGCAAAAGGTAATTGGTAATTGAAAAATTGAAAATGTTCAAGAAAAAAAAAAAAAACGATAATAAATGGATGTTATTATTGTTATTACTGGGAAAAGTTTACTGTTATTTTCATTTTATTTATTCATCTGTTAAACATTTTCCATTAAATTGATAAATTAAAAAATGATAAATGATAAAACTATTCAGGCAAAAGTTAAAATTAAAATAAATTTTTATTAAAAAAACTTTTAGTGAAAAGTTCAAAATTAAGAAAGTTTAAAGTTTAAACAAAGAAATTAAATGCACATAATAAGAGGATTTTTTAATATTTCCTACTTGAAAAATGTTACATCCGAAAAATTAATTAACAAAAATATTTTTTCAAATGAAATTTAATTAGAAAATTTTAAATTTTACATTTTATTGGATGATTTGGATTTTATTGGAAAAAAAAATTCTGTTATAAAACATTTTTATTTACACATTAAAAGAAAAAAAAAAAAGATGATAAAGCTATATATTTTTCTATTTCTGGTTAATTCTGTTTCCCAAAAGTTATTATCCATTCAGTTACCATTTATGAAAAAATTTTTTTATACCAAGAAAAAGAGAAAGAAAAGGGAAGAAAAGAAAAATGAGTATTTCTTTATTTGAAATTATGCTAATAATGTTGCCAATATACTATATATAAGAGAATTCCGGTTAATTCCGGTCATATTCGATCAACTGAAAATCGAATATTACTCATATTAAATGCTAGCAAAATAGTATAATGAAATAACAGAATATAATTTGAAATAGCATAAGTATTGAATATTTGCAAGAATGTTAATTATATTTAAAATTTGATTAGGCTATCAAAATAACATAGGCAATATTAAAAATTTAAAAAAAAAAACAATAAAATAGTAAAAAAAAAAAAAATAAAGAAATAAAATGATTTAATGGTTTATTTTATGGATATATATTTCAGGTCAATCAATTATAAACAATTGTATTTGTAGTGATGAAATTTAATTTAGATATAAAAAAGTATCAAAGTATCATCTATTGATTAAAGACATATGTTTATTGATTTATTTCTAAATTTATTTTTTGTATTTAATTGAAAATAAACTTTTACTGCATTGATATTTGTAATGAAATGAAATGGATTAACTTGTATAATAACTATTATTGATTACATAATAATTAAAAGAAAATTTCGAGTTGAAATTTTAAATTTTAAAGGACAACTAAAAAATGTTGTGCATTTCTTTGTGGAAGATTGGTTTTTATCAGCTGTGCTTGGTATTGTTACAGCAGCTTTATCAATTGCAATGGATATAAGTATTGAATATTTGCAAGAATGTTAGTTATTTCATTTATTGATATTAATTATAAGTAAAATTACTTTTTTTTCAATCGTTTTTTTTTTCTTTCTCGTCTTTATTAAATGAAACATTTTATATTTTATTAATTGATTAATTAATCAATTTATTGCTTCAAATTTAATTGAAAAATACAATAATAGTTTGTAAATAGCAAAGAGAAGATAAAACAATATTTGTCAAAGCAAAATATATAGTTGAACAAACAGATTTGCATTTATAATATTTTCATCAAACAAAACGAAAGTTGATATTTGATGAAAGTCAAGAGAAAAAAAAAAAGGAGAAAGGAAAAAACGAGAAATTTTTCTGAAAATGAAAGGCTAAAGAATTTTGCCTTTTTTTCTCAAAAAAAAAAAAAAAAAAAAAAAGAATGGTCGAAAAAAAATTATTGCATATGTTTGAAAAATTTGGTGCAAGTTTCTGTTAATTTATTTTTGCTAATTGCAGTAAATTTCTACAATTTGACAGTGAATTTCTAACGATAAAAAATTGAATTAAATTTTATAACATTTCAGCATAATTTAATACATTTACCATTGATATAGAAATTATGATTTAAATTTTTCATCGTATGATAACGAGAGAAAAAGCAAAATAAAACAAATCAAATCAAAAACAAAAAAAAAACTTCACCATATAATCATGAAGTTTGAAAATAATTCGCTTACTGTAATTCAAAACATAAGCTATCTGACAAAACTTTATGTATGTTGTCAGGATCGCTTAATGCAAATTATCAAGATGACCTTATGCATATTATCACGATCACTATGTATACTGTCAAGGTCACTCACTTTGTGCATACTGTAAGGATGGCATTATGCATATTGTCAGGACTGCCTGAATGTATACTGTCAAGGTGATATTATGCATACTGTATGTTCATATGCATACTGTCAGGGTCACCTTGTGCATACTGTATGTTCATATGCATACTGTCAGGGTCACCTTGTGCATACTGTATGTTCATATGCATACTGTCAGGGTCACCTTGTGCATACAGTATGCTCATGTGCATACTGTCACAATCATTTTACACATACAATAAAAGCAAAAAAAAATGGTTGGCATTATTCTAGATCGTGTAGTACTGTATGAATATACTATAAACAATTATCACTATTACATGGCGCTTATCTCATGGATAGCTTATATTACCTTACTGACCGGTGCATCTGCTTTATTTTGCCAATGTATTGCAAAGCAAGCTATTGGTCAGTAATTATTTACATTTATAATACAATTATTCAATGCTTTGAAAACATAAATTTAAAAAATTTTTTTAAATTTCATTTTTCTTTCTTCCAAAAAGTTTTTATTAATTTATATTTTAGGATCTGGTATTCCGGAATTAAAAGTTATAATGTGTGGTTTTAAAATGAAAAATTATTTATCATTGCAAACAATGATTGGAAAAATTTTTGGTTTAACACTTGCGCTTGGTAGTGGGCTTCCGGTTGGTAAAGAGGTTCAAATTTTACTCTTTATTATTTACATAGCTTCTATATAATTTTCTTTTTTCTGCAATCTTACATTTAAAATTGTAAAGTTCGAAATTTTTAAAATAAATTATTTCCGACAAGAGAAGATGTCAAGCAAATATAAAATGTAACAATATTTTACTTTTTTTACTTATTAATTCATAATTTATTTGTTCATTTCAAATAATTAATGATTTAATTAACTGCTTTTTCTCAATTATTCACTTACCTTTTTTTTTTTAAATATATTTTTGTTCTCATTGATGACCATTTCATTTGCTAGAAATTCTTTACTGTTTTGAATTTTTTTTTTTTTTTCAGGGACCATTTGTACATATAGGAGCAATTGTTGCATCACTTTTAACACGAATTACTTCCGCATGCCGATATCAAGCATTTTTCTCAAGTGAAGGTCGTGAAATGCAAATGCTTTCATCAGGTTGTGCAGTCGGTATTGCTTGCACATTTTCAGCACCAGCCGGTGGTACATTTTTTCTTTAAACATTTGTTTATCAATGATAAATAAAACATAGTTAAAATATGAAGAAAATAATAACAAATAACTGGTCTAATGTTCAAAAGTGATTGAATAAATTTGAAATTAAATTATATTGTAATCAAAAAAAAAATAACTTTTAGCTAAATTAAATTAAATCATATTTAAAATGTGAAATTTAAGTAAATTAAATTAAACATACTTGATATTTTCTTATATATAATTTGATATATGTAATAATATTTTTTTTGTTTATAATAATGTCTTTATACACAATAGGTTTTTTTTTTTTTTTATAATTTGAAAACAAACTAAAAATTATGTCTTAATATAAAATTTAGCTAAATTAACATATTTAAACTTAAAATTTAATTAAATAAAATTAAACATGTATACTAAAGGAATATTTTTTACAGCAGTATTATATGGCATCGAATCAACATCACGATTTTTTGCTGTTCGAAATTATTGGCGTGCCTTTTTTGCAACCACATGTAGCGCACTTATTTTTCGTTTTGCTAATGCTGCTATTATACCACCAGAAATTGGTTTGCATTTTAAATTTATTGTACAATTTTTTTTTTTAAAAAAATATGAAAATTATATTTGTACAATAAATGATTTTAAAAAATTTTTGCAAATTTACACATTTTATTTTAAATCTATTCAAAAAAAAAAAAAAATAAATTTAATAATTGTAAACACGAAGAAAAATGTAATTTAGAGAGAAAAATATTATTATTACATTCGTATTTTTCATTTATCATTATAATTTTATGTAATATTATTTCAATCATTTTATATTTATCATTTATAATATTAGTTAACGTTTCAGTCATACAATATTATTTTAATCAATGATTAGCAATTAATCTTTTATGTGAATATAAATTATGTCAATGTTAATTTTATTTTATATTTTTAGCGATGTTTTAGAGATAAAATTTTAGAGTTGAAATGAAAAAATTTGCTTAAATTTTAATCAAAAAAAAAAAATGTTTGTTCTATTTGAAATTTCAAATGGATAGATTTTGAAATTTCATTTGAAATGAAATTTTACATCATTCATATTTCAGCAGGTACTATAACAGCATATTATCAAACTTATTTCCCAAGTTCGGTATTTGTTGTCGAAGAATTGCCAATATTTGCACTTATTGGGTATAAATATATGCTAATTTATTTCATCATTTATTTAAATTGAAATTTAAAATAATTAAACTTTAAGAATTAACCCAAAAAAAATTTTTTTTTTAATTTCTTACCAACAACTAACTAAATGATTGCTGCTACTTTTATAGTAAAATATTTTTTTTTATCAATTTTTAAATGATATCAAATTGATTTATATGTTAGAATTATTTAGCAAAGATTTTTTTCGTCCATATTTTTTATGAAATTTTTTAGCATTAAACTTATTTTTGCTATTAATTTTTTTTTCTTTCATTTTTAGTGTATTTTCGGGTTTATTTGGTGCATTATTCGTATTTATACATAAACGAATTGCTATATTCAGGGAGAATAATCGCTTATATTTGTATATTTTTGGGAAAAAGTATGTTTATTTATCGATTATTTCAATTTTATTTTTTTTTTTTTTTTCAAATAATTTTTTTTTTCAAAAATTATACAATTTCTTATTATTTCTAGTCCATTATTTTTTACACTCTTCATGGCAGCTATCGTTGGTATAGTTACATGTCCGGATGGTACCGGACAATACTTTGCTGGAAAAGTAAGTATAATTTTTGTCTAATTTATTGCTAATTATAAGTACAGTATTTGAAATCTATTAATTTAAACATATTACTTAAACAATTACTATATTACTACATTATTTTAAACAATTACTTTATCATACATTTTCCACAATAAGCAAATAAGAATTATTGTAATTCATTTCAAAAAAAAAAAAGAGATTATAATGTCATTCATTATTATTTTAAATATCTTTATTATATATATATATGAAATAAAATATCAATTAGTATTTAAATAGGAAATGAATTTTATAAGTTATATAAATTCTTTGTATTTCTATTAACATATATATATTTATATACAAATACCATTTAATTTATTCCTCATTTTTGCTTTTCATATCAAAATTCTTCTCCTTTTTTTTCTAATAATTGTTTTACTATACATTAATTTTATTTTAATTTAATTTAATTTTATTTTAATTTATTTTTTTATAGTTTACATTTCGTGAAACATTAGCAGATTTTATTGCAAATTGCACATTTATATTATCAAATAAAACAGCCGAAGGTTGCTCGAAGGAACGATTGGAACGTTGGATTGGAATAAATCATGAATTTAGTGCCTTAAGCAGTCTCGCAATTTATTTTTGTGTTTATGTAAGTTTTCCTCCTTTTTTTTTATTTTATTTTATTTTATTTTTTTTTGTTGTTTTTTATTTAACAAATAAATTTATTAATAACTTTTACAAAATAATTTTTTAATAATATGAAAAAAAAAAATATTTGGCGAAAGTTTTTTTTTTTCCAAGAAAAGAAAAATAGATCAACAATGGTTTTTTTTATTGATTTTTGTTTAACAAATAAATTTATAAGCAAATTTCGTAAAGACTGTTCAAGATTAAGTTCTAATGATTTTTTTTTTCAAGAAAAAAATATTTCACGAAAGTTTTTTTTTAAAAAAAAAAGAAAATAAATCAATAATCATTGATTCTACTATTTTGATCATACATTTGTCCTCTCCTTTTTTTTCTTTACTACTTCTTTTTTAAGACTATTTTTTAAATTTTAGTTTTTTTTTTTTTTTTTTGTGGAGTTATTTGTACAGTAACGATTAGCAAATAATGCAAATCTTTTGAGTAATTCAACAATAGTATACAAGTATATAAGTTCAAAAGTAATCACTAAAAAATATAAATTCGAAAATAATCATATAAAATAGTCATTATAATTGAATTTAAATATTCACTTTTATCTTCCTTCTATAAAATTTATTTCATTTTAAAAATTGACAAAAAAAAAAGAAAAAGTAGCAAAAATACACAAATAAAATGTTATTTCAAATTTTTAAATTAAAAAAAAAAGTGTTTTTTTTAAATAAAAATGGAAAACTTTTCATATGATTCAATTAATATAGAAATAAATGCTTGTAAAAACTGATTAATTTACACTAAAAAATTTTAAAATAATTATTAACAATAAAAACGATAAGTGAATAGAATGGTTGTGTAAGCTATTTAGCAATTCAGTTTATCCTCGTTGCAATATGCATATCATTGGCGGTACCAGCTGGTATCTTTGTACCATCTTTTGTTATTGGTGCATGTGGTGGTCGTTTAATTGGTGAAATAATGGCACTATTATATCCTCAAGGATTACGAGGTCCTGATGGTCCACAAATTTTTCCAGGACTTTATGCTGTTGTTGGTTGGTTTTTTTTTTTTTGGTTCTTTTTTTCATTTTTCTCATTCACAATAATATTTTTTGTAGGAAGATGAAATTTTCTTTTTGTAATTTTTAAAATTTAATAAATGTTATTGTAATTTGTATAATATTATTATGAAGGAATAATTTATTCATTAATTATTAATCAATAATTAGAGCAAATAGGTGAATTTTTTTTTTTTTTTTTAACTTTTTACAATTAATAACAGTACTTTTAAATTTTAGCCAATTATTTTCCTTATTGTAGGAGCAGCAGCTTATACAGGATCAGTAACACATTCACTTTCAATTGCAGTTATTGTATGCGAAACAACGGGTCAACTATCACCTTTATTACCAGTACTGGTGTGTGTTATTGATTTTACATTTTCAATTGTTGATTGATTTTTTCAAATCATCAATTTAATCTCTTACCTTTCTAATATTTCAATTTTATATTTTTGGATGTGGTTTTTATAGTTAATGACTAATAATAATAATAATAATAATAAGAAGAAGAAGAAGAAGAAGAAGAATAGTCATAATAATAACAATAATACTAATGATAACAACAACAAATATAATAATAATAGTAGTGGTAATAATGATAGACAAATAATAATAATAATAATAATAATAATAATAATAATAATAATAAATGATAATAATAACAATAAACTTATATTTTGCTTACTTGTTGTTGTCACATATTTATTATTATCATATGTATTTATGGAATGCTAAAAAAAAAGAAAACTAATGGAATTGTTTAATTTATTCGTTCTATTTTTTTCATTCATTTTTTTCTATAATGCAGCAAAATTGTTTAAATTTTTGAATTTTTTATTCTCAAAATTAAAAGAATACTTTTTTTTTTTCAGATTGCTCTAATGATTGGTAATGCAATAAGTAGTTTTCTACAACCATCAATTTATGAAAGTATGATTGAAATTAAAAATTTACCACATTTAGCTGATTTACCTCCTTCTCGGATTAGGTAATTTTACTTTCAAATTTTATTAAAGATTTGTTATATATCAATTTTAGCTTTTCATAAAATGAAATGAACAAAACAATGAAAAATTCATAATATTATTTATTAATTATTATTTTTTTCTTACATAATCTTTTGTATTCATAATTCTTTTTTTTTTTTGGAAATTTGAATAAACTGAAATCAATTTTGAATGAGCAGGAGAATTATTATTTTATTTTAAAGTAGTAAAATACTAAATAATTGTTGAGATTATTAATATAAAACTAAACAATAATGCATTAACTTTTTTTTTTTTGTTATGATTTCAAATTAAAATTTATTTTTTATTATTCATTTAAAATTTTTTTTAGTGTTCATAAATTAAAAGTTGAAAATATAATGATTCATGATGTGCTATGTATAACAAAATCTACAACATATGGTGAACTCAGGGAACTTTTACTAGCAACACCACATTTGCGCTCATATCCACTTATTACTGATTCCAGTAAATTTTTAATCAGAAATTAAATTCAAATAAATTTTTACACCTATTACTTTTTTTAATTATATAACCTTAATAAAATTATAATATGATTATAACAAAGAATGTAATAAATGATTATTTGATTTTCTTTTTCTTTCTGTACTACATTAATTTTGTTAAAATTAGCAGTTTATCATGATTTGTGTTTATTGAAAATACATTGAATCATTAGCAATTAATTTTAGTTGATTAAATCTGATAATAAATATTTTAAATTAAAATTCAGTAAAAGATATAATTTTTTTCTTAATAAGATAATTTTTTTTTATAAAATAACTAAAATAACCTTTTTAATAACTTTTTCATAATTTTTCTTAATTTTTTTTTCTTAGTAAGATAATCATTATTTTAATTTATTATTTACTATGCAACAATATTTACTACATTATTAAATTTATTTTTGACTAAATAAAAATTAAAATATTATAATTAATAATTTTAGGAACAAAAATTTTGCTTGGTTCAGTAGCACGAAAATATTTGAATTATTTATTGTACGAAAAATTAGGCCCAGATTCAATGATTGATCGACGACGAATTAATACTACGTCTGATTTATTAAATCATATACGACGAAATTCACGATTAAGTAATAATAATTTATTAACGGATCGTAATATTAGTGGTAATACATTGCTTGCTAATAGTCCATTACATGAGGATCGTCGTGGAGGTAATTATAAAGTAATTTATTTTATGATAAGATCAGAAAGATTAAAGAATGTTAGAAAGTATAGGTTATGATAAGAAAGATTAGAAAATGTTATTGTTGTAAGAATGATTTAAAAAATGATTTGAAAGTATAACTTATGATAAGAATGATAAGAAAGATTAAAAAAAGTTTTTTTTTTTGATAAGAATGATTTGAAAAATGTTTGAAAGTATAAATGAGATATGGTTAAAATATTTCATTTAAAATAAGTTAAAATATTATTTCTTATCATTTATGTCCGTTTTATTATAGAAAAAAATAGAAAAAAATGCTAGCAAAATTCTTTTTTTTTCTCTTTATTTCATTTCTAGTAATGGACAGGAAATAGAATATAATATTGATGTATTTATTAAAATAAAAATTTTTCTTTTTTTTTTTTCTAATTTACATTTTATTTCATTTTTCAGATAGTCCATTAGCACCGTTACTTCAACGTCAAACTGATGTTGACAGTCATGTAAGTTTCTGGCCATACTTATTTTTTTTTTCAATTTAAATTAATTACTATTTTAACTAATTAATTTGCAAGTTTAATGTTAGAAAAAAAATTATAAAAGTTAGTTTAAAATAATTTGCAATAATTTGATAAAATGAATAAAGATAAATGGGAATTATTCTTGAAAATTCATATGTTAATTAAGTTATTTCGAATGATTTTTATTTTATTTAAGGCGTACTTTTAAATAAATACTTTGAAAAGATAACAAATAAAATTATCATTTAAAATTGAAAAGTGTGAAATCAAAGAAAAAAATTATGTATTAGTGCTATTAGAAACAAAATTATAGTAAAATTTATTTTTTATTAATTCACAAAATTACCATTTTATTAATAGTTTCATAAATTAGTCGTTGAAATTTGTGTCATTTTAGGTGACAAATTTAACTGTCCGTCAACGTGCCTATATTTTGCAGCATCCTATTAATTTGGATGAAATTGCAATCGATCCAGCACCATTTCAACTTGTCCTTGGTACATCATTATATCGAGTAAGTAAACAACAATGAATTACTTTTTTAAATTTTCACTTTTTTTCTTTTAGATATTAAATAATCAAATATTATATCAGATATTATCTAATAAAATATTATTAGATAATTAAATATATTAAATAATCAAATACTTTAATTTTAGTGAGTTTCTTTTTATAGCAATTTTTTATAACAATATAAGTAAATAGTTGCTAAATTTAATGAAAAATTAACGAAACTTCAGCTTCTTTTTTTTTAAAAAAAAGACATTTGATATATGTATGTAATGTAGTATTTGATTATTTGATTATTTAATACCTGCAATTTATTAATTTCAATTTGAAATCATTTAAAATTACGATAATAATGATTTTCAAAGTTTTCGTTATCTCATTATTTCAGGTGCATACATTATTCTCATTACTTGGCCTTAATCATGCTTATATTACAAATCGTGGAAAGCTTATGGGTGTAATTTCAATCAAAGAAGTTTGTTCTCCTTTTTCTTTTTTTTTTTTAATTTTATATTATTTTTTGAAAGAATTAAAAATTTTGAAAATTTTCTAGAACAAAGAAAAAAAAGAAAATTCTTTCCAAAAAATAAAAATTTAAATTATTTGTGCTATAAAATTATTTTTTTTTTAAATATTATCAAAACAACTTTTTTTTTTCTTTTAGCTTCGTAATGCTCTTGCAAATATATATAGTCGTGGTGCTATTCCAACTTATTCAGTGCGCAAAAGTACTGTGACATCACCGCATAGATTATTAATTGATAATGGTATTATACAACGAATGGTAACAACAGTTGCTACTCAAACATTATCAGAAGATCAGATTATCAGTGATGTAAATTTGGAATGTTAAATCATCAAATATTAGTAAAATAATTAATTCGAAAATTTCATTCTAATTAATTCTTATTAAATAAGTTGTGAATGAAAATTATCAAATAAAAAATAGGAAAAGATTTGAATGAATAAGTATAAGTAAAAAATTAAGCTAATATGGAATAAAGTAAAATAAAATATGATAGATTAATTATATTAAAGTATAATAAAAGTTAAAATTTGAGTATTATATTTACTATAATAAATTTCTGTTGGAAAAAGAAAAAAACATTCTTACAACAAATGTTTTTTATTTTTTAAAAAAATTTTATCTTAAAAAAAAAAATTAAGGAAAAAATTTTATACCTCAAAATTTACCTCATTAATGATATCTCATTATATTAGTTAATATTATCGGTGCTTTTTTCTTTTTAGATTGAAATTAAATAAACTGTTGAAGCATTTTAATATATTTTTTTTAGTGTAAATAAAAATGTAAACTTTAACATTTTAATTGCCTTGCATTTTCTTTTTTACTTTGATTAATTATTTGCTGTTTTTTTTTTTTAATCTTTTAAATTTGTTGAAATGTTGAAAATTTTACAATTATTTCATTTCATGTAATTATTGATGTTATAAGTAAAGTATATGTAATAATTATTTGCATTATATAACCATAATAAATATTTCTTAAATTTGTTTTTTTATATGAAAAGTAAGAGTTTTATAAGTATTTATGCAAATTAATGTATAATAATTAAATTATATTGTAACTTTTTCTTCTTTCAAATTTTTAGCCTTTTATAATTGATAAAATTCCCGAAATTTTATAAACAAAATTTTTTCTTTTCATAATTAAATTTTAAAATGTAAAATTATCATATTACAATATAACTAAGTAACCAATATTATTGTGATGAATGAAAATTCTCATACATTTTCAATTTTGAAAATTTTTTAATTAATTATTGTATAAACTAATCAATAATATTTGTTAATTAATACGACAAGAAATTTTGATGAAGTTTTGATTTCATTAAATTAATATTTATTAATTAATACAACAAAAAATATTGATGAAATTTTGATGATAATTTCTCTTTTTTTCCTGTTTAACAATTTTGTAATGTATATAATTTTGATTTAATTTATGCAATTGTAATTATTAGCGATGTTTGAAATAAACAAAAAAAAAAAATAAATAAATTATTTTTATTCAGAAAAAACAAAAGAAAGAAAATTGTTTGAGAATTTTATCATATATTTTTTAAAAAAATCAAAATTAATGCTAATTTTGTTTAGGAATTTTATCATTGATTGCTTTATGAAATTTTTTCATTCTGTTGAAGTAATATGCATCTAAGTTATAAATATTTGAAATTTTGAACAAAATTTATTTGCTTACCTAATAATGCAATATAGTTATTGGTAAATTTTACCCGTGAATTCTACCCTTTCATAGATTTTTATTTACCCTTCACATGGATTTGAAAATTAGGATAAAAAAAAAGATCAGTGCATATTAAATATAAAGTTAATATTACTAGCATATTGATAAGATATTCGTGTGAAAATAATAAAAGACGATTAAAAAAAAAAAAAGATTGGGCAAAATTATTGAATGCTTATACCCATCATTTCTAACCTAAATAATGGGTATCTTCAAAATTGCATTTTATAAATTTTCCTAGAATATTTTATGCTACAAACATTTTTAAATATTATTAAATATTTTCAATACTTTCATTCTTTTGTTTTGTTTTGTAAATAAGAAAGAAAAATGACAAATTAATTTTACTTATAATAATTTAACTATCATATATTAGAAAATAAAAAATTTTATTTACTTTTTTTTAAACTTTTCTATGTTAATTTAATGTACCACATAATAAAAAAAAAATCCTTACTTACTCTTTTTCTTGCTTTTATAAGTAAATATTAATTTTAATTACCAATAGTAATATTATAAATTTTCAAGAATAAGAGAAAAAAAATGAAAAGCTTATAAAATGCTATTTTAGCAAATAAATTTCAGTGAGTTAAGTTGAAATTATTATTAATTTTCTCTCGTTCTTATTTTATCTCTTATTTTCTCTCAAAATTTTAATTTTTGTAAAAAAATAATGAAAATACATGTTTGTTTATTTAATTGAATATCACTTTTTGTAAACAATTTTAATTGCTAAAAAAAGTAATTTCTGAAAAATTCATTTTAATATTTGTAATTCTTTTTTTTTATTTCTTCAGCAAATGAAAATAATAATTATTCAAAGAATTATTTGTTTATTCAAAAGTATAGTTTTGTATAAACAATATATAATTAAGTACCTATTTATACGATTTGCTACATTGTTAATTCTAAAGTAAACTTGCTGGAATAGTTTTGAACTTTTTATTTTATTATTAATAATTTAAATTAATTCATTACAGTAAATCATCATTATGCAATTGCATTTTTTTTTCTGATTTCCTTGAAATTTCCATATTCATATCCTATTGTAATATTTCGTTCATAAATTCATTCCAATCAATTTCATTTCATGATCTAATTAAAATTAAAAGTGTTGAAGAAAAAAAATTAGAATTGTTTATCATAGGACATTCCATTAAACAGTAAAATTTAATTTAAACAATTGCTAAAAGCTTCTTTTTTAGTCCTAATTTTTGTTTTTTTTTTTTTGTTTTTCTTTTTTCTTTTTTTTTTTTGGTAAAATTTCGATTTTAATTTTTGAAAAAATGGACGAAAAAAAAATATTAGAAATGAAAGAATTTTGACTTCATCAATTTACATCAACAAAAGAATCACAAGAATTATTCGTTATTGATAGCAAATCATATGATATGAGTGCATTTCATATGACTTATTGTTATTATTTGCTTGCAATTTTTGACAAATAAATAAAGCACCGGAAATAAAAAGACAAAACTTTCATTGCAAAATAATATTCATTAGATGGGGAAGTAGTAGTTAATATGATAGCATGCATGAATCATATAAATTTTATAATGTAACAAAATTTTATAAAATTTAAGCTTCACTGAAATATCTTTATCAATACTAATTTAATGACACGAATGTCAACGTACATAATAATGTAAATAATATATAATACTAGCTACCGCCTTCTTTTTTCTTTTTTTTCTTTTCTAAGAGAAATTTTTAAACTTTGCTTATAAAAGTTATTTGTGAAAAATATAATCAAAAAATTACACACTCGAATTATCATTTTCCAATTGATAGAAAGAAAATCTTATTATTACCAAAATTTTCACTTCTTAGAAGATCATTTTGATCCTTTCCATCTTTTTAGTCTTACTTAAATTCTAGCACTAATAATACTGAAACTTCACAATAAAATTTCCAAGAAGGAGAAAGAAAAAGTGGACTAGGATAATCCATCATAAAGAAATACCAAATGTTTATAATACGAAACAGTTATAAAGAAAGCCAAACATCCTTGATAAGCATTGTTCATCTTAAATATTCAATAATTATTTTCAGTTTACCTTATTGTTAAATTGATATTGAACTTTATGATATCAATGTCTTCCATTTTGATATGTCAGACAAATTTACCTATTGAATATTTAAATTTTATATCAAATTTACTTATTGAATATTCAAATTTTATGATTTGATAAAATAATGAAAACAACTATTGTTTATGATAAGAAATGCAAAATAAATCATCTGCTAGCAGCTTTCTTTTTTTTTTTCTTTTAATTAAAATTAGAATAAGATATGAATTTTTGAAAATATTTGAGCTTCCTTATTAAAATATAGCACACAGAAGGAAAATATCCAACAGTAGTGAATGACTAATCAAAATAAACGATATAACGAAAATTTTGAAAAGTAAAAAGAAAATGAAGTTATGAAATTGAGCTCAAGCAATATCCATCTATAATGCATGAAGTCATCATCCTCACAATCTCAATCGTACTGTCAGTAATGACCAACAAATTTGCGCCACCAAAAACGCCATGCGAGAAGATCGTATCCACGTTGAAGTCGTGCATTCAGCAAATTATAGTTGCTTTCATGAAGCGTTTTCACTAAATGATCCAACGTTACACCACTTGCCATAAGTGCTAGTCGTAAATTTGGTTTGATGCTTTTACGATATTGTCGACTTTTCAGAAGTTCTTCCTCTGCTATCTTTAAATTTTAAAAGGTTAAAAAATATTTTGATAGAAATGATGAATTAGCCAATTAATTGATGGTAAATTTTTCAAGATGACTTAGCACCATCTCTAAAAAAGTTTTTAAGTATAAGAGGTAAATCGTTACTTGCAATAATTCAAAAGCTATTCCAAGAAAATGTTATATAAAGTATTAACGTGATTTTTTCTTCTTTTCTTTCGTAATGAATACAAAAAATACATCAACAAAAGACTAACTCATGAAATTCAATGAAAATTCAAAACACTAACATTAGTAAGCTCCTTGACTAAATCACGTATTGCATTTTGCTTTTTATTTCCCAATATGTCATCTGCATTTAACTGATATTTCTCCATTAGATCATTGGGAAGTAAAAAGATCCCTCTTGACAATAACGGCATGGTCGATCTGTTACGAATTAAAGTAAAATTTATAAAAAATATCTAGAAGGTTGCAAAAAAAAAAAAAAAAAAAAAATGAAGCTGAAGAATTAAAAATAAAAATAAAGGAAAAATTCCCACTAAATTATGTACCTGATTAAAGTGATAATTGAAATAGCACGTGACATTGATTCGACTGCTTGAATTGCTTCTTCAGAAAGCGGTTTCTCATTAGCATCATGAGAACCGGAAAGTAGATGCATTATCAATTGAGTTACGGAGCCTGTCGTTTCAATGCCATATTTTTTGACATCGTTAAGAGACTCAAACGGACGATCACCCAATGTTCTTTGCCGAGCAGTAATTAAATTTCTCAGTAAATGTTCATCAAAATGATGTCCAAAAAGACTTAAAGCTACCGCAACCGGTTGCCTGAAAACTTATCTGATTATCGTATCAGAAATTATTAGAAAAAAAAAAACTAAACCCTAAAAGTATATAATAGAATTTGAAGCTCCAAAAAAAAAAAAAAAAAAAAAAAAAGAAAAATTACCGAGGTAGTGGTCCTTTTGCTTGACCATATAAAACATCTAATGCATCTTTCCAGAACTGCAAACGATATATTCCGGAAACTCCCGAATTACGAACAACTTGATCTCGAACAATGGCTAATTCTACATTGAAAGCCAATAGCTGGAAATAAAACTTCAGAACTTATAAAAAAGACGACGAAATTAAAATATTGAAAACAAAAGTAGCTTACGGTAAACAAAGCAGGTTGAATTTCCGATGGCATTACTAAACCAGCAACATAATTTGTATAATCTCGCTCACGAGTTATTTGTAAACATTGATGAAGGGCTTCGTTTATTGCCTGGAAACACAAAATTAATACTTTAATTAGCTGAGTATTTTATTAGCTGAATCAGTGATTCGTTCTTCACATGCTAATCTGATTCAGAAATGATCTTAAAAACACTGCAACATAGATCATTTGAGATAAGTGCTGCGAACTTGATTAGAATATCATAAATTTAATTGGTACTAAAAATTTGCATTAACATAAAAAGGATAGTAGGTAAAAACTATTTATTACTTGTTCCCAAGATCTAACAACATTTGCTCGTTCAAACAATTTTTTCTGCAAAAAAAAAAAAAAAATTAGAGTATTTTATTGGTACCAGAATGGTACTAATAAAAAAAGTTATTACCTTTTTGGAAGGAGGTTTTAACTGAGGATTTCGTTGCGATGGGTTTTTGTTTTTTATTGAAGACTTTTCGGATAAATCATTTCCAATAGTTCTACATAGAGCGGTTGAAAATGATATCGTTTTTTGCTCGGATGAAGTAATTCTTATCTAAATAACTATCCATAAAACATAATCCAGGAGAAAACTAGAAATATGATTCCTATAATAAAATTTTTTTATTTAAAAAATCTCTTTCTTGCTTATTCGAGAAATTAGCAAACTCTATTAACATACCTGAGGAGGCATATATGAGAAGATTGAAAAAAATGAAGGGAACAATGTTGAATATTTAACAATTAATAGTCGCAACGAAAAAGTTCGCCATCTTGAACAGTTGATGAGGACGGGCACTACAATTGAAGAGTTAAACAAATTTCGTACAAAAGACCATAAATCATAAAATCAAATAATAATAATAAATATAATGGAACTGATATTTTTTTTCTATTCAAAATCCTACTCACTGTTGGGATGAAGGACGTAATTTACTAAGAAATAAAACTATCTTATGTTTTCAATATTCCAAATTACAGTTTACCATTTAATTATCTTTCAAAAAATACAATGCAAAAAAAAAAGAAAGAAAAAGAAAAACAGAATTGCAAATACTTTCATATCTCACAATAACATTATTCAAAATTTGTGAATTTATAAAAGCAAAAAAAAAAAATAAATAAAAGTAGAAAAATCTGCTGTAAACTACTTGTATTTTCTGTATATTTTCACAGATTTCTGATACAAACATTTGAAAATCTCCGTAATCCCATTTATAAATTTCAAAATGAAACTTTAAAGAAAATAAAAGAATTGAAAAATACACATTTAAGACAATGAAAAAAAGTTTTTAAAATGAAATGAAGCATCCAAAAAAAAAACCGGTGAAGAATCGAAGTATTGCTGGCATGAATCGCTGTATGATGGTGAAAGAGTTCTGGCACGATGATCAAACGTATAAAATGACGGACAGTTTCCAACTGTGTCCCAAGATTTTGTACGATTCTAGAATCACTAAGTATTAGAAATTTGGAAAATAAACATAAAAAAACATAAAATTTAGTCATTGCAAAAAATCAAAATTATGTAATCATTTAAAATCATATGATAACCACAAGAATCCAATTAAAAATAAGTTTATCAAAAATATTAAAATCAATTTATCTCATTTAGATTCTTTAAAAAAAACCCTTACTAAGTCCCAAATTTTAGTTTTAACAATTTACTTATTCCAAATCACCAATGATGTTATCATTTAATGCTCTATGTTGTGGCCTGTTTTTTTTTTTTGAAGGAAAGCAAGAACTACTCGTTATATATTCAAAGCAAAAAATAAAACCTTCAAAATTTTTCAAAAAAAAAAAAAAAATGCCAATAAATGAACAATATGCATAAGTCACCACGATGAATTTAATAATAGCAATGATAAACCTGTAAATCAGAACGAACTGGTTGAAATTCTCCAGCAATACAGGTAGCACTATAAAGGAAAGCAATTAAGCTCACAATTGTTTGTACGATAATATCAAGAGGTAGTTGCGTGAATGGTTGTTCCGTTAGTCGTAAATAAAAACGATGCTGCAAAAAGTTTCATAAACACAACCAATTCTTAATCTATCACTACTAAATTAAGTTTATTTTAAATTTTAACTTCAAATTTGTTCCCCTTTTACGAAAACTTTTAGAAGAAAGTAGAATAGCTACTAACTCTAAAAGACTGAATTTACCTCAAATTACAACAAAATTTCAATGAGTAATATTTTACTTACTTGATATATTGAAAAAATATATATATATATAATCACAAAAACTACTTTGTAAATTAATAAATTATGTTTCAATATATACATAGTTTAACAAATTATGTTTGAATAATGCAAAAAATAAGAAACCTGTGCAGCTGAATAGGCACAATGTAGAAGTGAGATGAGACCAACTAAACAAATTCCGCGAAATATTGACAAACTCGTTGGATTCATCGAAATGATTATCCTTCAGTCTTTTACACTTCTCCTTGAATGCAATTCAAATTTTCCATCAATTATAGCAATGAGAAACATTAAATTTTATAAAATCAATTTGCTACTGCAAAAAATAAAAATCCCGAAATGTGAGACTTACCCGATAATGCAGGATAGTGTTTCAGAAAAAAGATCAAAATACTGAACTTCAAATTATCATTCGTGGAATAATTCGCACTGAAAGATTTGTAGTGCTTAATATATATATATATCTTAAAGAATTTTACAGAATAAAACTTATTGAGATAAAATATTTACAGTGTTAATTGGATCAAATTTCGTAAACGAATAACTAATAATATGAGAAAAAGAAAAAAATATTCTCTAGATACTTACACTGTACTTTATTAATTAGAAATAACTAATTTAAATTAATAAAAATGTCTTGCAAAAATAGTTTATAGGAAAAAAAAAAGTTGTGCTAACAACACGATGTACATTTCCAAGAAAACGTAAAATTTAAAAAGTATTTCAAATTGAAAAACAAAACAAAATGCAACAATTGTCACTGCATAGCAATGTAAATTTTTTATCTGCCAAAAGTTTTTGTTTTCTTTAACGTAAAAAAATATAAAATGAAAAACAATCTGCACATTCAATAAAAAAAAAAACAAAAACTGTACAGTCAAATCATGACATGACATCATTTTTGAAAGCAAAAAAGTTGAAAAACTTAAAAAAAAAACATTTTAAAAACCAAAAAAAGTGATGAAAAACTAGGAAAAAAAAAGGAAAAACAACAATAAATATAACAAAATTTAAATAAAATATACAAATATAGATTAAATCTGAGGTGATGATACATATGATATTTATAAGTGGTAATGAAGGGATGATATTAATGAAAGAAGAAACACTATCACACAAATTAGTCTTGTGTAGAAAAGTTACGACGACTAATCTTTTGTCTCATAAGATATGGCTCATTCGTTCTGTGGTTGACCAATGCTGGTTCACCAAATCTATAAAATGAAATAATTTTATTTTTGCCTTAATTTGAATGTGTAATATTAAGAAATTTAATACCAAAAGTTTTATTACATTACTCTTACATCACGAAGATGTACAAAACTGAGTATTCAAGAAAACTTAAATTCGGTATGTTTAGAACAAAATCAATTAAATATAATCATTCCCAAGACCAATAAAAAAAAAAAAACATGAAAAGCAACTTTTTTGTCAACTTTTCCATATAAACAACTGCTGTTTTTCTCATATTCTTTTTGAAATTTGCCATTAAAATCCGCTCAATTACTGAATTTAACTTTCCAAATGATGTTGACACTAAGCCACCACGTTCCACAATCGTTTCCGGTATACCATTTTTGAAACCCTATTGGTGAATATTTTCAAAGATTCTTTAATTAAACTAATGATTGAATTGTTCGATATAAGCTATTCCATAAATATTAATATCATTCATTCCTAATCAATAAGCATTAAACTTTCTGTGACTATTTTCACACAAGCGTTCGAAAAGTCACACACTTCCAGATGCTTCTTGGCTAATTTCAAAACTCAGTGCATTCCAGGAAATATTAGGGAGTAAGGAGAAAAAAAAAATGAAAATGAAGTCCAGATAAATTCAAATATGTTAAAAAATGTCAGCACAGCAAACACACATGGCTATAATTAAGCAATATGAAAAAATAAATTTAAAAAAAAGCTAAGAGAAAACAAGATAAAAGAAATACCGGTTTATAAACACAACGTTCATGAATTTTACAGGTGGATAACAATGTAATATTTCTCGTGTAAGTCACTAAAGATCTTTTACTTCGATCGAATATACTTTCCTCAACTGTAGGAACTACCTGTAAAGATCGATTTAAAGAAGATTTTTGGATGCATCAAAATTTTGCTTTTATTGATTCATTTCCAAACCATTATACTTTCGAATTGAAAATCTGATTTAGCAAAAAATTATTTTAAAAATTAATTTAAAAATTTTCATGGAATCTAATATGAAGAGATTAATTTACCATACCCTAACATTAGTCAAACGCGACATCCATCTTGGAACTGCTTTCAAGAATGTTCCTGTTTGTTTCAATATCAATTTTTTCGTCCTGATTTGATCACCGTCTATCTAAAATCTGTTAAAATATGAAACTATTCGATAGATGAAACAATTCCCATTTACATGTAAAAGTAAATATTTATGCCAAAATCTCGTTTTTTTTTTTTTTTTACTTGCTACATCAACAATGTATTTTAAGACAAGAATTAAGAAAAATGTTTTAAATAAAAGCACTAGCTTTACTCAAATAATTCATGCACCATGTTTAATACATATTCGTAAACATATTAGGAAAATGTGACATATAAAATAAATGAATGTCAATGGTGATTATATGCAATAAGAAAAAGATAAATTAGTAAAATGTAACAATCATAGAACCATCTGATATTGTTAGCAGTTTTGTTAAAATAGCTCGAAATATTTAAACTGTCTTAACTAACCGTAACATCGATGAAATCTTCACTTATAACATGCTTTGCAGCTGTATTTGGATATCGATGCCAAAACACTGTTGCAACTTGCTCGAATGCATATGGTAAATGCTGGAAACAATCATAGATTTGCATTCCTTTAATATTTCTGAAAATAAACTTTTAGCAAAATTTATTTAAATTAAAACAGGAAAAAAGAAATGCTTTGAAGAAATGAATTCTGAACCATCGAATTTGTTATAGCATAAATATACTGTGCATTATTACTTTTTTTTGGATTAAAATTTAACTGCTATATAAATTATAACAAACTATACTTCGACTAAACATCAAATACTTCATTAGATTAGGGTAAATGAGATTATCAAGCTAACATTATACTTTTTTATCTTTAATCAACATTCTGATAAATTATTTATCTCACTGGTTTATAACTAAAATTAAATTCTTAATACTTAAAATAATCTACAGACAAGAAATGAAAGTTAAAATTGTCAAAATAATTTCAATATATACAAATATTTCAAATCATTAAAATGATTTCAAAGTACGCAACAACAAAATTACATCGACACTTTTTTTTTTCAAATTTTTTTCGGAAAAGGTTAACAATTGTTAGAAAGAAAGGCAATTATTTCAAGTATTTGTTATACAAATAGGCAAACTGAAAATACTTACATCCGTAGCAACTGTAATAACCGTAAAGAAATTAATTGTCAAGACAGTGGATTGATTAAAATTTTGAAAAAAAAAAAAAAAGATCAAAAAACAAATTTGAAATTGCTAGGGGATAAGAATTGAACAAAAACTCAAACTAATTCAGCAATAATAACATATATTGAAACTAATGAGATCTTCTCAAAATAATTAACCGCAATGAATTTGATTGTTACACGAAATCATAAGTAGCTGCTCAAAATACTAATAATAGTAAAATCAAATGAAAGATAAATTAAATAAAAAACAACATATCTAAAAACACTGAAAATAAATCACAAACATAAGCTAATTTGAAAAAAGCCTCTGAACAAATGATAAATGAAATGCATTTTCTAAATTTAATCTAGGCCTAATATTGACTAATTAAAAAGTCAACAAAACTTCACAGAAAAAAACGTAATTAAACTTAAATAAATTAAAAACATATATAGCATAATGATGAACTGACATATGAAACATTTCAAATTACATCATCATTTGTCATCAAATAATTGATCATAAAGATCAAGATAGAAGATTATACTAAATTAACTGATTTCCTGAGAAATTTTCTAATCGTGACATTACTGAGATATTGCTTACCTATAGAAAATATGAGAAAATGACCGTAAACAATAAAGGCAAATACTAGCATAGAAGAAGTCGCAACATATTTAAAGTGCTTATAATAAGTATAAATTTAAGAAACTCAAGTGTATTTAAATTTTAGCAACAATAAACAGCAAAATTAAATTAATATTAACAACTGTCACAACCGTGCGTATGGCATGAATTTAATTTCTAGATTTTGTTCATCTTCAATTGCATTATATCAAGATAAACATATGCTAGCTGCTTATAAAATATTGTAAGATGCGATTCTTTACAAAACTGCTTTAATTAATTAATTGGAAGTTGCTCTTGCAAGTATTCTAATGTCAAACGTTGCGCTAATTCCATACGTAGCATTTTTTCCTAAAAATGCATAATATAATCATTTAATATTAAGGTTAAATTTTATAAGTTAATGAACACGTAATTAGAACTTGGAAAAATAGTTTTCATTCAAAATCAAAAATGAGCGTAAAATTTAATAAAAAAGTTTTCACACCTGTCAGTTTTTGTTGAAAATTTTCTTGAATAAAGCGTAACATACGCATGCAATTAACATCTACAAATATTCGATTTAAAAATCGCCTAAATACTACAGCTGCTACCGCATCAATAGTATCACCCATTAAATGTCGAATAGTAATAATAATCCACATTGGATGAGGAAAAATAAAAAGTATGGCATCGCAAAAGCTTCTAAAAATTCCGTTGTCGCTAGTAGAGATAAAATAAATGGTTTCAGATTCTGACCTCTTTCACGAGCAAATTTACTTGGCACTTTTTTCACCATCTGAAAAAATCATTGAGATTATCATGGAAGAAGGAAGAATAATCATAATCTAGAAGAAAAAGATAAATCTTACAAAACAATTCATATTATTTTTGAATTATAACTTACATTCCATGGATAGAGGTCGGAAATTTGTGTTGAATCTTTTAATCGTTGCTCAGTACTAAGAAAAACAAACAGCAAATCTGATTGTTTCAATGCTCGCTGAAAGAAACAAAGTTATTTAGTTCAACTGAATATGTTTATCTTATATATATATATGTACTGTTACTGAATGATTTTAGTTAGGTGATTCATTAACCCAACAAATTAAAAGATTTATACAGATATTAATTAAAGCTTTCCTACCCAGACATACGCTTATCAATTATTTATTATAAAAGAATAAAAAAATGTTGGTACCTGTTTGGCGAGTAATTGAATGAAACGTTCGAAAATTTCACGTCGTGATTCCACATAAACACGACTTTTACAATTGAAAAATCGTCGTGGTGGTAGTGATTCCGTTTTTATCGTATTTCCATGAAATTCTACCAGTTTTGATTCCAGAATGTAAAATTCATTGTAGTGGCGAATCAGAGACCACTAGAAATATTGACAGCCTGAACGGTAAAGTATTCACAAGCTCAAATGATTTTAACAAAATTTGAAAATAAGGACAATTTATAGTTCAATTTTGTTTAGCAGAAAAATTATTTACTTTTTGTGGTGCTACAGTTGCTGATAACGATGTCTGATCAATGTCATCGTTTAAATCAAATCGTTCAACCGAAATGACATAGACGTACATTGTATGACCTAAATATAATCTATACAAATATCTTCATCTGAATTATCAAAGATTAACACAAGTTTTTTTTTTTTTTTTTTTTTTTTACATAGATGTCAACAAAATAAATCAAAAAAAAAAAAAAAACAGACCGCCAACAGGATCTCGTCGTGGTTCAACACATGGGATTGTTACATTCCATTTGCTCATATCACGTTCCGGATCAAACATTGGTATCTCAAATGAATTATTCGAATTCATCTGCTGCTCAACAAACTCTTCGTCGGACTAAAATTGCTTAGAGAGAATTATATAGCTAAACTCACCAAAAATTGAAAATGTCATGCTTCAAGTATCAAATAAACACCGAAAACATACCACATTTGAGATAAGCTGATCATCCTGCACTTCGGTAGTTTTCATCTTTCTATTATTCAAGACAAACTGAAATTCTAACATTTTAAAATATATCAGTAGAATATGAAAAATACAAGCGATAATAAAACAGATATATACTTACCTCAAAAGATGGCATAGCTGTGTCATCACTTGGTGAATCATAACTCAAACATTGTGTGATATCATCAGCAGGTACAATCCCGCCATTTACCTCGTTTAATGCAATATCATTTAAATGATCAAATGATGAATCTATCGATCCACTTGTTGGTAAAATCATTCGCCAAAAACGATTTCTGAATTTGATAACTTAGAAACTTCGACACAAAGTACAGAATGATTTACATGTTACATTATAAGGCAGACATTATTTAAAGCTTATTTAGGACTACTTTTACAATCGCACCAAAATAAAAAATCCTAATTTAGCCTTAAATTATATTGGATACCAAATTTATCACAGTTCAACAATCTGGTAACAATTGCCTAACTTATCAATTCCATTTTTAAGGATGTTTAGTTTGATTAAACGTATCAAAAGAAACGAATACTATTGTATATTGGAATGAAATTACTATTTCCATTTCTTCAAAATAAAACAGTAGAAATTTAAGCTAGAATTATTTCATATGGATAACTTTCAAAAATTTCTAAGTTAAGCTGATTTCAGCATCTTTAGTTATACTCTCCTCAAACATCTATTCACAACATTAGGAACCACAACTGAGAAATTCAAAAACAAAGGATAGAAGCAAAAGACAAATACAGCTTTTGAATAATTGCTAAAAATTTTTATTTACCTGAACTGAGTTAAAGAACAGTTAGGTTCAACAGTTGGCAGAAGACAATGAGTTGATTTAGAATGTTCTCTGGATGCAATTAATTCATCTATACCCACAGGACGAGGACCACATAAATTACCCAAAAAACATTCTGACTGACAAAACGGTATCACATATTCATGCTGCATTCGCTGGTATATAATTTGAAAAGCCTGAAATTCACAAACTAATCAAATATCAAAAGTACACTATAAATTTCAAGAAAATTAAAATTATATTCAAAATTCTCATACATTTGCAGTAACTCCTAAAAATTTTAATTCAGATAACAAAAAAAAAAAAAAAAAACTAAAACCTTTTCTAGACATTGATCAAGCAGCTCAGAATCATGCTTTTCTACTGCTTTACTAAATTCACAGCTAATCTCAATAGGAAGATTAACCCTATCTGGAGCACCTTCGTGAATATATTTAATAAAAAGTTCCCAAATATCGTACTGCAGCTCACTCATTGCAGCATGATCATTCTGCAAATACAATGCAAGATTATTATATTATGAATCTTTTCAATGTAAACATCACAATAATTAATGAAATTAAATTCATGGAGTTATAAACATAAAATACTTCTTGAACTTTTAACTGTCCATATAATTTATTTAATTTATGAAATAATTCATATAGAAAAGAATTCACAGATAAAGCCATATAATTTTATGATAATGTGAACTATATATATACGAATAAAGCTTACACTCATCATATTTTGATTTTTGTCCGAAATTTTGTCTTAGTAACGCTTCTGAACAATTTTACTTGAACCTTCACATTTTAAAAAAGCATAATTTCAAAGTAATTACCTGAACATTAAGCATTCTTCCATGTGCATCACCTGCATAAACTAAAAAATCAAGCTCATTTAGAGGTGCATGAATATCATCTAAATATGCTCTGAACATCATCAATTGTCCAGCATCTCGAAGCATATCACTAAGTTTTAGTTGAAGCAATGAGTCAGGAGTGTCGTTTAAGGAGTAATCTGTAAGTCCATGTAAGATTTCAACTTGTCTGCTATCCTAAAAAAAGTACTTTTCAGGTATTATATGCATGAACTTCAAATTTATCATATTTAGAATCATAGCATAATAGCTATCATATGCATTTCTCTGTTATTAGTATATAAACATTTGCTTAAAGGATTCTAATGTTATGCATACCTGAGATATTTGAGGAAAGTTGAGAACATCTGAATTAAATAGAAATATCAGTACTCGATTAATGATATCTGGATCAGCTATCAAATCCATAACAGGTAAGAAAAATGAAAAAACAAACAGTTCTCGCAAAAAATGACGACATATATGACTTGCCCATGGACGCTAAAAATGAATTAGTAAAAGAAATTAAAGCACTGTTAACACATAATTTATCTGAATAATACTTAACTAATTTTTTAAAATTTATTCAACTAACCGTTTATATGCCTATGAAAACACTCCATAAAAAAAGCTGTAGTTCGCATTATATATTTAAACTACTTTATATGTTAAACTATTTTATACTTTACATTTCTTAAAAGCATCCATGAAAAATGATATGTTTTTACAGATTATCAATTACACTTCCCTATTAAAGGTAATAATCTTCGTCATAAAATAATAACTTATAAAGTAGTTAATGGAAAATATCATAAGAAATTGAAATCAGCTGACTGGAAGTAATACCGAATGATTAGCAAGAATGTTACGAGAAGGTGAATCGCTATCATTGGAATGTCCTGCAATGCAATTTTCATCCATTATAAGTCCAATTAAGTGATCAGCTAATTCGCGTAAATAATCTACTTCATTTTGTCGTGAACTGAGAGCAAAATGTACATCCGGCATAGCTTCTAGGATTTTTGTTTCAATCAGCTGTGATGAATACATCTAAATTATCTGCACAATTTGATGATCAAAATTATGAGGTAAAAATTATAAATTATTGGAAACAATCAGAAATAATAATAATAATGTGGAATTTAAATCAATTTTTAGATCAAATGGAAAAATTGTGACTAAAAATCCCTACGATGTCCTCAAGAGCTTTCTTATATTAAAGAAGTGGAAAATTTCTTAATACACAAAAAACATACACTTTTGTCAATAGTTGCACTTAAATGTTCAACTTTTACACAATGTAGTGCTGCCAGCGGTACAGCCTCAAACAAAATTGTTGAAGATAGATCAATTTTCTGGAAGCGTAAATACAAGATAGCAACGGCATAACGAATCTGATACCTAAAATAAATTGCTGGATATTTTATTTTGATATAATTTTAATAATTGTCATTTATTCAATAATTTTATGTCACACAAGAACAATCAAAACTACATCACATGCATGATATCAACCTAGAAAATTTTGATAATTATGATAATGTAAAAAAAAAAAAAAAAAAAAAACCTATTGAAGCTACCTTATTTCATTGATAAATGCAGCATCACCGCTTATTTTCGTTTTGTACCATCTATTTATGTAATTATCAATCAGCTGTTCAATCAGTTCTTCAAGCAGTTTATCCACCGATTCCGATATTGTTACACCTGAAATAAGATTCATCCTTCTATTTCGAAAATATTTGCTTTTCAAATATTTGTGAAAAAAAAATTTTTTTTTGTCAAAAATGCCGATTAATATCGATTTTTTTGTAATTTCAACTTCCTAGAGTATAAAGGAATGTGGAATTACAAAGGAAGGAGTGAATTAAACATTTGTTAACTAACCTTTCCAAGGTAAACTATGGATTTGTTCGGAATTATTTTTTACACCCATATTTTTAACAACAGTTTCATTAGTATCTAATTTTTCTTCAAGCCAATTTTCGAAAAAATTCCATAAAAATTCTCCATTAGAACGCCTTATCAACGAAGCTGTTATAAAATAACCAATTGCTAAAGCTGAACACTGTGTAACAATCCATAAAACACTAAAAATAAAATTTTATAAGAGTTTAGAATATGCAATGTTTAATAATGTAAGTAAAAAAAAAAAAAAAACGAAAGTAAATAAGAAAGAAGAAAGTACACAATTCTAGGTAAACACATTACTGAAGAATTGACAATTCGAAGAAAAACATACCTGGAGTTAAGAAAAATTAAGGGAAGAATAATAAAAATAAAAATAAAAGTTGAGAGTATTTTCATGTTAGAACTTGCCAGCAAATAAAGCCGACAAGTAGTTAATGCATCCATTACAATGACATGTTATAAATAAAACTGCAATTAAGTTTCAATTATGTTCAGCTTTACAATATTCTATTGATAATATGGATATTAACTATGTGCCAAAAATTCATAATCAATTTAAAATTGTTGGTTCAAAGGATAGGTCAATACTAAAAATCAAAAGTTATAATCTATTTGGAAAGATAAAACATCCAATTACTTCATATTAAGGAATCAGTACCGCGAAATATGCAAAAAAAAAGAATCAAATTCTTGAACATGGAAAACAAGTGTAAGTTATTTTTATTTTCTAAAACTCTTCATTCCAGAACTCAATTAAAATTACTCTCCATAAAACTAGAATCATTTCAAAAAACAAAAAAACAAATCTTCCTCTTATAGTCATGGAAAAAATAAAAACTAGATTTCATGATGTTTAAAATAGGAAATTCATTAAAAATTGCGCGTTTGAACGCAATCATGATGATAAAAAGATAGGTAATATAATAAGTTTTATTAGCAGTAAACAAACATAGCACCACTAGCATATTTACCACTTGAATAACAATTTAGAAATTAATTGTGTCACATAGAAATAATTTTTCCTAACAATTACATAAAACTATTATATAAAACTTTTATTACATAAAGAACAATTATATAAAACAAAATAATTTCACTTAGGAATATACAAACTAACAGCATATACCTATGTTACCTAAAACTGGCTACTATTTTTAGTCCATAAAGATTATTGACAATTCACTCAACAAATATTCGACATTACAAAAAAAAAAAAAAAATTGAGAAACGATAACCACTTTCTTCTAACACAATTAATGCAGTAAGGATTAATAAAGCACATAATAAAGCACAAGTAGAAAGGACAGAATATAAAAAACGTATGGAATATAACAAAACGTATCACACTTAGTTTTATTACATAAAAACTTAGCTATTTCAATCACAGGAAAAAACAGAAATTATACAAATAAAAAATTTTTCAGAAAACTAAAAAAGCTATTCGATTAAAATTCGAGCTGTTAAAGTTTAAGCATTATAGAGTTATTTATCTGTGTCATATTTTAAATTAAATTAAAATAAACTCAGGACTTAGCACGTCTTTTACTAAAAGTTTTTCGTTTCCTTTGTTTCCGTGACGCATCTGGATCAGGCAGTACAGGTCGTTTTACTTTATATGCAGCCGTACCACCTATACGTGAACCACGAAGCTGTGCACAGTATGGGAGAAGAGCTGGTGTTCGTAAAAACAAACCACGTCCTTCTGGTGTATAGGCTTGTAAACGAACTTCTCCACGTCGAGATGTTACGCATACCCAGCCCAAAGAAGAAAGTACCACATCACCGCAACCTTTCCACGATCCAGAACTTTCCAAAACCATTTCACTGCTCTTAAGCTGAAAAATAAAAATATCTGTTACTTCTTAAATTCGAAAAATTTAAACCATTTGCTCCGTTCAGGATTTCCAAATAACAATAAGTTTTGCTATCGCAGTATATCTTTATGTGCTCTGAAAAAAAAAAAAAATTATTCATAAATCAAAACTTACATCCGGAAATCGCGCTATTCTTTCGGCATTACCAGCAGGAACAACAAGAAGTGAGCTACCCAAATATTTTTCACGAAAAGCATTGCTTTCTGATGTTTTTCGTATGAAAATTGGCAACTGCTCACTAGCAAACACTGTCATCTGAAATATTTAAACTTTAAACACATACAAATTAAATGTTATATTATGACTGAACCATAAACATCTAAAATTCATCCTACCAGATAAAAACTAAAAATTATGTCTTGAATCTTTACATATTTGCTTAAAGATCTTTTCAAATATAAGAAAACTTTCCAAACTCTAGACATATTAGTGATGAATTTCCTAAAAGAACTTACTAGAATAGAAGGTCGTCTTTCTGGATAATCTTTTTCCGAAGTAGATTTCACTGGCAAACTGATCACATCAATCTGCGCAACGCCAGCAATGAGAAGGGATTCCTCTGAATGCATAATAAATGTTCGCGGTAAAATCAATGTTCGGGGTAAGATAGTAATTAGCTCGTCCAAAGTGAACAAATTCAGAATCTGAATAACAAGATACAAAGGCGACTACAGCATCTCGAAAAAAAATTTCAAAGCATAACCTAGCAAGTTTTGAAAGAATAATCTCTATCGCTTCCAAATTTAAATTTCGGAATGCAGTACTTAGACAGTAAAATTTTTGTATAACCTATAATTAGTTTAAAGAATTCGAAGGCGAAAATACGCGAACTAAGGAACAGAAACTATTACTTCACAAAATAATGATAGCGTGTGATGTACGTCTCCTAGAGAAGAGACGCTATCAAACAATTTATACTACATAATTAACTAGCCAATATAAAAGCGATTAAACGTTAAAAAAGGAACTAAAGAACAAACTTGATCTGAATTAACGGTTCCAGGAGTATCAAAGCACCACTTTCCTTTTGCAAAAACAAATGAATTCGGATCAAAGCTGAAAATAAAATCAATATAAGCAAAGTTTCTTTTGAAAGAGAGTGAGGGAGTAGAGAGGAAAGGAATCAAATTCAGTAAGTCATCTGATCTATGAACTTTAACTAATCTTAAGTTGTTATTTCCAAATCATTCGTTATGCTTCCTGAAAAAAGTGACAGAAAATTAAATGATTAAAGAATTAAAAGATGTAAACTAACGGTCGTTTTGGTTTGTCCGTTGGTTCAGAATCGGTAAGTATGGTATGAAAAGCTGGTGGTTGTAACTCTTCTTCACGATCCTTTAAAATCATAATTAAGAAAAAATTGAAATAGAGATTTCGATAGCTGAAAACATACTGGGCCAGATTCATTTTTTTTTTTTGCTTTTAAAATACGTTGGTATTAAATTATGTACGAAAAAAAACCTTGAATGAATTTCCAATGGCAGACTGCAACATTGCATATTTTATATCACCTGACTGCTTATAAAGATTATATCGCGCACGATTCTCCTTCTTCTGCCAAGCTTGATTCATTAACAATCTGTAATCAATTTTGATATAAATAATATACAAATGAAAATCTCTAAATATACCATACACTGCTTACAATTTAAGCATCCAAAAAGTTGTTTACAAAATGCTTAATTCAAATAGCACCCTCATAAAGATTTTTGAAGCAGAACATTTAAAAAATAATCTTTGTCCTGGAAAAAAAGGAAAAAAAAACTCACCGTCGTCGTCTGATTTCTAGCTTATGTGGCGAAGGATTCATTACCGGAAATTTTAATAGTGAAATAGTGGTACCGGGCCAGGGAGTTGTAGCTGCACGTTCTACGAGATCTACAGCACGTACTTTGCATAAATCAGATTGCAATAATGCGTTGAAAAGCGTCCTAAAAATACAAAACAATAATTCTTCCAAAAGTCTTTTTTTTTTACTATTTCAATGAAAAAATGATGGAACAATAAGTCTAGTAACCATAACGAGAATTAATATATCAAGAACAGTCATGATTCCTCTAAAGAAAAACTTACTTATACTAATTTATAATTATAGAAAGCTTATGTGAATAAAATGATGAAACCTAACTAGTGAAACAAGTCAAAATGTTAGAGATTTAATTAACTGACAGAAGAAACATACGATTTTCCTGCATTAGTACATCCAACTAAATACATATCATTCCGCAAAGTATCTCGAGTTGAAAATCTTAAGAATATATTCTGAAATAGTATAGTTTTTTATGATTCTATAAAATATTCGGCCATGATTTTCGTTTCATAATTAAAAAAGAACTCCTTATGTAATAATTAAATTCATATATCTAAACACTTCTGAAATAGTGTGATAAAATGATAGTGATAAAAACAGATGAACAAATCATGAAGCAATAAAGTAAAATATCTTTTTACAACTTTTTTTGTCGAAAGAAAAACTTGATTAATGCAAACAAGAACCATTGTAAAAATTGAAAATGAAAAACTTCATTAAAACACGAACAGTAATAAGATCTTCCACACCATATCCTGTTTTCGCGCTAATAAGTGACATGTGTAGAATGTTGAAATTATCAACAAATCCTGTCTCCATTAATAAACCATGCAGAACTTGTCGAAAGTGACGCAAAAAACCACGGTGTGCATCAGGTGGTAATAAGTCAACCTTATTTCCTATAATGATCATCTATAAACTAAAAAATACTTTAACCACATTAACCAATCATTCAGTGTAACAAATTTTCAACTTCATGAATTTCTTCTAGAGTAATTACCAATAATCATATGAACGGAGGATATAATGAAAGAAAAGAAAATAACTTACCAACAACAATCATAGGTTTCTGATAACCAATTATTTTTGGTAGTTCAGAATAAATAGAACCTGGCAAATCACACATATCAACAACAAGTATTATTAAAGCTTCTTGCTTCAGTTTTAAATGTTTCATCATCGAATGATAATCCACTTCACAAACATTAACATTCAGCTGAAATAAAATGAACTGTCTATCTTCAGATATGAACTACTTTCAGAAATAAGCTAGAAATTTAAATTAGCTTTTTTTTATTTATTACTAAAATATAACTAATAAAATAGATACGAATCGACAATTTATGCCCTACTGTTGAATCAAAGAATAGAAATTGGGAAAAGTGATGTAAAAGATGTTGTATGCTATAGTAATAATATAATACTTTCAACCTTTTTTTTTATTTTTAGAAATATTAGTCGAAAGTGCCGAACAAACTTGCTTATCTACTAACCAAAAAATTATGCCTTTTGAGCATGTAACATCTGCGACACAATTGATCATTGTAATCTTCCAATTTTAAAAAGATTTCTGCAGGCACAAAACCTGGCAAAGAAGCATCCTGAAATAAGAATGAGATTTCGACAATATTATATCATCTTTCACAACTAAAAAAAATCGCTTAATTTTTAATATCCAATATTGATTTACAATAATAATCATTATTATGCAAAAAATTTATCAGTTAATTGTTTTATATTAAATTTTAGTAAGAAAATTAGAATGATGACTTCTTACCCGACAGTGGAACTTCGCACCACAAGCGCTACAAGGTTTATTTGATGAGGGTATTGTTGGATCAACTGTACCGTAATTTTCCAAAGATTCATCATTCTCGTCTTCCAGTATATTATCCTGAATCTTATCAAATAATAACTATAATAAAATGTTTCCATTTTTTACATTGCTTGAAGATGGATATTTTTAAAGATGAATCGCAAGACCACAGAAACATCATAGAAATAAAAATAAACCTTTGGATTGCTGCTTTGTCCTGGAAGTTGAAAATCAATTTCTTCAACAGCATCTTCGGCACCATAACGAACTAGAACTTCATGATCAATGCTAAAATTTTAGAATTATTTCGAAATTGCGTTTCATAAGTGGTACAGATTTTTTCATATTAAAAAGTTTGAATTCAAAAAATTCCATAACTGAGATAATTGTCGGAACTTTGGCATAAGGAAATCAGCAAACCATTGTCAACCAAAAATAAAACGATAAACAATTATCAAATAATTATTTAAGCATTCGTTAAAAAGTCTTTGAAAATCCAATTTAAGATTAAATGTTACAAACTTTTCCAATTCACCACCAGGTATATCTGTCGCTGAACCAACAACAAATTCATCCACAAAGCTATCTCCGTAAATGTAAAACCCACGATCAGAATCAGGAATCTTCGAAAACGCTGATGGATTTTCCGCAAAATTTTTTGAAACAGTCGAATCAGCTTTCAACAGAAAAGAACCAGCTAACAGGAAGTTCTGCAAGGTTATAGTAAAGATAATACATATTCTATGTTTTCTATGAATGAATTTGTTAATTTGTCAAATTAATTAAGTAAACTGGAAGGTGTGGAATAAAATTTTCAAAATCTGGAACTGAAATAACGGGTGTAATGAACGAAATGATTTCATGATTTTAACATCTGAAACGATTCACATCATGTCGGGTGCAAAATTATACTCATGATTAATAGCAAACATTCCTGTGTGAAATAATTAACGTTGCAAAGATTTGTGATTCAAAGTTGAAAATAATTTCAAAATTCAGTTTTAAAATACCACACTGCTATTTCTATGAAGAAAACACGTAAAAATTACATCATGCACATAACCATGCTCAGCAGTTAAATCTTTTTTTCAGAATTATCAGTCTTTTTCATAGCTTGCCGAGATGCAATAAGCGAAGTATATTTACTGGCGTTTATTCTGAAATCAATAATCAATAAGAATGTTGTTGTGAATTTTCTCGAGATTTTAAATTTTGCATAAAATTAACAGAAAATATATAGCTCAAGCGAAGCTTTTTCAAAACAATAATAAAAGCCGCACTCTAAATATCTATCAGCTGATAATGAAGCCAAATCCATTTCCGAAGTTGATGCCTGATTCTCATACAAGGAAGTTTCCAATCGTTTCCGGATCAATTCATTAATTTTCGAAACTGAAAGTGCATTTGTAGGAATATTTGCAGGAATTTTCGCTTTCCGTCGTAAACGTCGACCAAGTGAATGTGTTCGTTGTCGTACAGAGAGTAATGACGATGGAAACGATTTTAAGATTCGAAATGTCCCACACAACATAATGATGACACTTTCAAAATTCACGAATTGCTTATCCTGTCTTCACTTAAGTCAGAAACGTATGACACTGAAAAATGATAAAAGAAAATATAATTTAAAATTAGAACTAAGCAGGAACTTTTTCTATCTGTTCAATTTTATTATTGAGAAAATATTGATGCTATGAAACAATTTCATAAAGTTTTTTTTTTCTTTTTCTAGACCAAACATTTACCTTTTCTATCGTAAAAATTTCTTGTATTTGCAAAAAAAGACTGCAAATCAGCACTACCAATTCTCGCACTTCCTCCAAAATCGTCTTCTATAATCTGCAGAGAATACTAAAGAGTAAGTTAACAACAAAGTTCAAAACTTTCATGAAATAATTTGTTGCATTTTCAAGAAAGTAAACAAAACTTACTTCAATATCATCAAAAATACCATGCAACTGGATAAGATTATGCGCTAATACGAGAATAATAAATGCAGCAACTGCTATTGGTAACAGTAGTGGTATAGCAATGGCCCAATATTTGGCAGGTAAATATGTTAAATGAAGTAATTTCAAATATGGAGTCGGGAGAAGAGCCCAAATTAGATATAAGGCAAACGAAAACCATGAAACGATAAATAATGCAAAACCTGAAATACATATTATTAAATGTGTCACTTCAAACCTAAAATCTTCACAGCACTTACTTTATTAAAAGAAAAAAAAAAAAAGGAAACAAAACTTATATTCTAACAATTCGCATGCACATTACTGAAGTAAGCCCTTTTAAAAAGAAAAAGTTTAAAATATTTCATATTCTAATAATGTTAAGATGACATTACTTAGCAAAGAGATCAAATTACTGTCGGTAGATATAGAAATTTGTATGAATGGAATTTAAAAAGTTTTTTTCTAAACTGAACATACCATATATTCCTCGAGCAGGTGAAGGATTTGGTGAAGCATATGGTGGAAATGAATCAGAATTGTCATCTAATGTATCGTCAACAATGACCATACGTTTTTCTGATTAACCATAGAATATCGCCTATTTAATAATACTTCACTATTATTATTTTTTTTTTTTGCTCGATAAAGTTTCAAACCATGAATTTCAAAAAAAAAAAATTTCAACTGAAGAAAATAGAAAGAAAGAAAATTAGATGAGCAAACTTTTCATATACGTAATGCATCCATAAATTTTAAGTAATATCAATAATAGATATAAAACAAATAATGTTAGACTACATAAAAAATTTGCATATGCATTTATTATATATATATATATATTGTAAGACACAAAAAACAAGAAATCAAGAACCAAATCAAGGCTTAGTTAAAAATTAGCATTATTCAAGATCAAATCCAAACCTACAAATATTGATATATCATCAGCCGTATCATTCTACATTGGATATATCGATAAATGAGCATATAAAATGGGACCCGTAATATTAGTTGTGTATTTTATTGATTTGGTGAATACACAGCATCGAATAAGTAAGTACAAAAAAGATGGATTAGAAGACTTTTAATATTATAAGATTTAAATCTTTAAATGAAAAAAAAAAAGACAATTTTAAAGGATTTATATGAAAAGAGCATCATAAATTACATATAAAAGCAATACCGATGATTCGACTTTGTCAGAAAATAATTACAGTAACTATTAATCATTCCCACTCATTATCATCGACTTTATCAACATTATCATATTCATCACTATCTTCTTTGGGTGGTGGGGGTGGTATTCGAGCACTCATATGTGCAAATGCTCCTTCACTTAATCCTAATGATTTTGTTGCTTCTTGATGGCCCGATTTTTTTCCAAATATTCCTAAAAAGATTTCAAAAATTGAATAATTTACTATACAACAATCAATAGCTATACAAACTGTTTTACTTTCATCACCAAATTCGTGAAATCAACGGAGAAAAAAAATTGGTTTACAATATGACCGAAATTTTAGTACCTTTACGCCTTTGCTCTAGAGCTTTCGCCAACGACGACATTAAATCATCGCTTGGTGAAGTAAGTACATTTCGTTTGGGCAAGACCGACACATCGTCAGCAAGAACTTCTTCCTAAAAATGATCTAGCATCAATTTATATATCAAATAAGTTCTCATCCAAATATTCCATGATCAAAGATGGGAAAAATATTGAAATTACCCGTTTCCTTATTGATCGTAGCTTCGCACCTTTGGCACCTCCAGCTCTTCGTATAGCATCCATTAAATTAGCTCTATCATCATTATGAGCAATTACTGATTTCGACTGACTATTAACTGCGATTTGAGTTGTAAGCTGAGCTGGTGGTGGTGGTGGTGGAGGAGGCGGTGGTGGTGGTAGTGGTGATGGAAATGATGACGATTTCTTTTCTGAAATAAAAATTCTTAAAAGTAATCGAAAATTGAAATTTGTCGTAAAATTCTCCTTTCCTACTTCAGTACAATTGGACTTTGTGCGAAATCTGATAGTTTTGTGCAACTCAGATAATGATATTTAAATTTCTCAAACTGTTATAGAACTATAAATTATTCATAAAAAAGAAAACGAGAAGTGGAAAAAAGTGGCTGTCTTGCGCTTTACTTTATGATAAAATGACTTTGACATTAACGAAGCATAAAGAAGAAAAACATTTTCATTATTCTTTGCAACATAGCATAAAAATCATCAAAAAAAAAGAATCAATAATAAATTTTTGTAATGAAAAAAGAAGGATAAAGAAAAATAAAAAAAATATGACTCAAAAAGTAGAGATGAATAGAGACTGATCTAATTTTTTGCATAACTTTTATGCTGCATTGCAAAATGAATTCAGAAAGTTAAAGGCAAAAATAAAGCTCCCATTCCAAAAAACATCGATTAAAAAGATATAGAGTAACAGTACAGTAGATTAGCAAAATTATCACTGTTATTACTACATATCAAAATAAATTTATAATTTAGATTCTAAAACTAAGCAACAAATGTATTCCGTATTCCGCATGTATTCCGCAATATAAACGATATAACGAAATGTTTCACAATTCCGTCCTCCATTTTTTGTCATGCTTTAATCGTTCTTTTCCATTTAGAAAAATATCACTCAGTTTTTAGATTGTATTGCTTGCAACAATAATAGTATGATAACAATTGAAATGAAACAATTTAGTTTGGCTCTTTTTTTTGATAATCTTCATACTAGCTGAAAGAATTTAGTTTGATTTTGATTTTATATCAGCTGAGACAAACCATTATTTGATGTTTCATTCATGGAAACAACCGAATTTGCAATACTTTGCTTTGCTACTTCAGATGATGAATCGTGCGCTTTGTTTGTTTCTGTAATAAAAGACTGCAAACCGAATTTGGTATTGTCATTTATTGCTGAGATCGATTTACTAGTATTTTCTGCTATGGCTAATTCCGGTTTGATCGACGTTTTTTCTTCAATAATATCTTTCTGCATTATTGGCATATCTTGAGATTCAGCAGTAACCGATATATTCCTTCCTAATGATCCCTGAAGAGGTTGCGAATCAGGAAGAAGACCTGAAATTAAATTCTGCAAATATACACTTAATACAATGAAAACAAATATTCATAAATATCTTGGAGACCAACAAATATGTCTTTAGTAATAAATCTTGCTAATGAAGAAACTTTCAAAAATCTTTCCACTAGAATTCTGAACATACATGGACATAGAGACAAAAAAGTTTCAGGTCACTATTCGCAAAAGACGTATACCCAGGTAAAAAAAAAATAATGACCCTTGCTAGCAAATTTAAAAACTACATTCACAATAGATGTTAAAGGTATACTCGTTGAAGTGAATAATAATTCTGGAAGACTGAAATTCTGAACTGAACCAAATTCTGGCTGATATTGTAATGGATCCGCTTTCTGTTTCACGCTAACAGCCAAAGTTGAATCATCAGTCATCGGTGCAAGTTGTTGTATCTTGGATTCCGATTCCGCACGCAACTAAAAGAAGTATGTAAAATCAACCAGATTTCTTTCATCAAAAATTCATGAAATCTATTTCATAATCAATCAAATTACTGAAAATGACCTATTTGTTCACCTTTCTAAAGCTATTGTTTACATCCTTCAAAAGAATAAGAAATCCAAGCTTACTTCAACTTTCACATTATCAAAAGGATCCATGAATCGATCATCAGTATAGACATTCAGAGTAGTATTAAACAGCAACAAATCTGCAACTGACTGCAAATTTTCCGGAATTTGTCTGGCTGAAAGCAAAATTTAATTCAGATTCTTTCCTTTTTGAAAGTGTATAATTTAAAAAATTAGAGCTGCAAACTTTCTTGTTAATTTCAAACAGCTAACCAATAAAACAGCTTTTCCTCATTCATTTCTATGTTAACTGAAAAGGTAAGAGAATTTTCATATGTCCCTCATAGACACAAACTATATAAATCTTCTCTGTGACATACGAAGATTACTTACTCTTTTTGTTCGGCGTCATTTCTCGTTCTGTGAACCGATAAAATGTTTGCTTTTCATCCAAAACTGTTGCAACATCTTTTGACTTATTTAAACCATTTCTATGTTTTATGTTAATCTTTCTCAAAGCATTTACACTTGTTGGTAATCCTCTGCCCAAAATACTTCGCTGGCATTCATTTTCAATTTTTATAAATTTGCTAGGTGCACTAATTACAATTGCAGTATTCATCTGAAAAAAATTATAATCATACTATGCCTATACAGTATGTTATGCTTTACTTATCATAATTAAAAACTTAACTTTAACATATTTTAATAAATGTATATGAATTAAAAAAAAAACAATATTATTTTAATAAAAAGTTATTACTAACCGTTCTGATTTGCTCAATTTTTTTTGCAACTCGTTGTAAATCCAATTGCACTCGATCGGCATGATCACTAAAATTTTTTATCCTATTTGATAAACGTTCGAATATTTCATTGGATAAGTTTATCAACTGTTCTAAACCGACCGTAATCCATTCAACAGCTTCCTCATGATCTGCATCACTTGGTATCATGCAAAGAGACATTCCCTTCGCAGCAATCTGTAAGATTAAATTCAGTTTATCACCAACTCGTAAAAAAAGAAGGAAAAAAAAAAAACTTTACTAAAATTCCACAACATGAAGAAAATAAATGTTTAAATTAGAGTAACTTAAAGAAATACTTACCTTTAAAAAATTACAATCATTTTATGTCGATTTCCTAAAATAAAATTTGAAAATTTGAAGACTTCTCAATGTACAAGAAATTTTCATATCATTTCCGGTAAGTTCCGCTTTATCATTATATTAAAATATTCTCATTGACGTATTAATATAATTTCGAATTTATATTAACATAATTTCTTTTTTTCTTTTAAATTTAAAAATTATAAAAATAATATCATTTTGAAAAATAACTCATTGTTATCTTTTTTGATATATCATTTAGTACTGTATTGTTCACTGAATGAATATTTTAAGCTAAATATTAATGGAATTCTTCAGCGGTGACCTTTTTTGTAAGACATTTTAAGCCTATTTTTAAAACTACCAAAATTTTAACCAAAAATCTAATATTAAGCTAGCGTCTTAAAGTTTGTTCAAATTAATTTAAAGACAAAAATCGAAAAGCATCTGGAAGTAAAAGTATTATACATTAATAAGTGATTCCATACTATTCTATGATCATTTAAAGGAATATCCAGGTATCGTTTACCTAATTCCAATAAATAATTATATTAACTACTGAGATTTTTAAAGTAATGTATGTATTGCTAAACATGTGTATAACTATTTCATATACATTGCATCAATAAAATTTAACAATTTTCAATTACTAAAAACAATTTGCGTGACAATTAATTTAATTAAATAAATTATCATTGCATGTATAATTGAAAATATTTATCTAACATTTTGGCATTAATTCATAAAACATTATTTTAGAAATATTTATATTTGCTTCTGTTTTATTTATTCAACCATTAAAAATAATTATAGCATACATCATTATACTTCAAATATTTTCTAATTATTAATAGCATTCGTATGTTATATTAAAAAACTAGATATGATAAGCATTTAATAATTAGGCAATTAATAATTGTACTATCAAACAATAAAAATTTTAATAAATTTTTCGTTTTTTCGAAGCAATTAATTTCCCATAATATGTCATTTTAAGCCTTCTTTTTTTCTGCAATGAATAATAAAAACTAACAAATTGTTAATGTGAAAGCAATTGCCGTAAAAAAAAAAAAAAAAAACAATGCTGTAAAAGCTTAGTTTTTTTCTTCTACACTAAAAGTATTCATGCTATTAAATTACTAAACTTTATCAAATTAATTATCAACACAAAAATGAAAGAAACTATAATATATAATGGAACATATGAAAAGTGAATTCGTAAGATAGGAAAAAAACTGTAAACTTTTTTAAAATTTTAATAGAAAAAAGACAAAAAAAAGAGCGATTGATACAATTATAATAGAATTTTTATTATTATTTTTTTTTATTATATTTTAATTTTCATATTTTTAATTTTTAATCTCGAATTTTTATTATATTTTAATTTTCATATTTTTAATTTTTAATCTCGAATTTTTATTATATTTTAATTTTCTATAATAATTTATTATGTCTAATTAAACATTTTGTTATAAATAATTTAAAATAATATAAAAATAAGAATTAATAAAATCAGAATATAAGAATATCCCATTTTTTTTTTCTTATTCAAGTAAACGTGTATGTAACACATTGATGTGTATAAAAATGACGTGTACAAAGAGGGAGGGAGGGAGAAAGAGGGAGAAAGGGAGAGAGAAAGAGAAAGAGGGAAAAGGAGGAAGAGTTTAATATATTTGAAAATGATTGAAAAATAAGGAAAAATCTCTAATTTAAAAAAGAAAGTAAATCTTTAATTACTTACACCTTACAATAAAAAAAATCAATAACAAAACAGTAAAGGAAAGAAAACTAAACAAGAAGACAAAATGTTACAATCCAAGTAATTCTATAAATTTTGAACATAATGAAAATTGAAGTCTCAAACCTGAAATTAATTTAGGATTAATTACAGGTTGTACTTTTCAGTACTATTTGGACTATTTTGTCATTTTGTATTATTGAATGTGACAATTATGTTATGCAAAACTAAAAATAAGCAAAAGATGGAACAAATGGCATTACAAAATGCTAAAGTTGTGAATGTAAATGAAACGGTAAGTATAATTAAAAGTAATATGGTAAGGTAATTAGAAGATTATCATATTAATTTCATGATATAAAATTTACCAATCATTAAACAATTACAAAGTTATCATTTTGATTTCTTTCTTTGTCAAATTTGATATAATTTAACAATCATTAATCTTTTGTTTTATATTTTTATCAATTATTCAGGCTTTAAATCATTTTTAGAATTTTATTTTTTTTTTTTTGTTTTATATTTTTATCGTTGTAAAATTTTCAGCTAATTTCATTACCGTTTTTTTTTTCTATTATTATTAGATATATTTTAGGCTAATTTGTTTTTTCTATTATTATTAAATAAATAAATAAATATATTTTAGACTAATGTGTGTATGTTTACGATATTGCATTGTTTTTATTGTATTAAAGATATAATTAATAGTTATAATAATTGTGATTATTTTTAATATTTCATTTCAATATCTCTTATCATTGATATTTCTAATTAAGATTGCAACAAAACAATCATCACCAGAATGCATAATGCCTGCATTATCAACAACACAACAAACTACTGATAAACTGATAAAAGAAAATGTTAAGAAGGCATTATCAAAACAATCACCAACAATACCAATGCAATCAGAAGCAAATGTTAAAAAGATTTCTTTGCAATCAACACAAATTGATACAGATTGTATGGCTTCTTTGATTTAATGAGGAAAACAAGAAGTTTTCATTGATAATTTAAAATTTTTGATAAAAAATAGCAAATTATTCACCATTTTGAGGTGTTTGTATTTTTTTAAATGATATTTTTTGATAATATTTACTTTAGCAATCAATTTTATTTATTTTAGCAAAAGAAAAAAAAAGTAGAGATGAAAAGTTCAAAATAAATAAAACACAATCAGAAACAGAATTCGAAGATGTATCATTAGCAACATCAATGCTAATTGATAAAACACAAGCAAGCATTTCACAACGAGTAAGTCAAATGCTAACTTTTGCAAATTTATTTATTAGAAATTCCGGAATTGTAACAATTTAAATCAAGTATTTAAAAAATAAAAAATAAGACAAATGAGTAATTTTGAAAATTTTATTTAATAATCCTTGGATAAAAAAGCTTGTTAAATATATGTATTTATTTATTACGGTAAGTTTGTATTAAGAAATACGTGTAAACAAGTTCATTTCAAGAAATACGTATAATAAGTTCATTTTAAGACATACGTGCAAATAAGTTCATTTTAAGAAATGCGTGTAAATAAGTTCATGTCAAGAAATGCGTGTAAATAAGTTCATTTTAAAAAATGCGTGTAAATAAGTTCACTTTAAGAAATGCTTGTAAATAAGTTCATGTCAAGAAATACGTGTAAATAAGTTCATGTCAAGAAATGCGTGTAAATAAGTTCATGTCAAGAAATACGTGTAAATAAGTTCATGTCAAGAAATACGTGTAAATAAGTTCATGTCAAGAAATACGTGTAAATAAGTTCATGTCAAGAAATGCGTGTAAATAAGTTCATGTCAAGAAATACGTGTAAATAAGTTCATGTCAAGAAATACGTGTAAATAAGCTCATTTTAAGAAATACTTGTAGAATAAGTTCATATTAAGAAATATGTGTAAGAAAAATTTGTATTAAGAAATATGTGTAAGATAAGTTTATATTAAGTAAATAAATTCATATTAAGAAATACGTGTAATCATTCGTACGTCTAATAGTGATATCAGAATGTAATGAATTGATATTTTACAGGTAGATGATAGTGCTGATACCGGTGAATATGTGGATGATCTTCCGGAAGATGAAGAAAAAAGTAGTAGTGAATAGATAATTCTTGTTTAAAGCAAACATTTATTTTTAATTTAAATAATAATTATTTAAAGAAGCATTGATTTGATTGTTTTTTAAATGAATAATAAAATATATAAACGATTGCAATTAATGTAACAAAATTTGTTATTGATTTATTGAATTTTTAACTTAGCAAAACTTTTCTATTTAATGGAATATTTCAAATAAATCGTCTCATTTAAATTTTAATAGTTTTTAAAATTTTGATTTGCTTAAGAAAAGCTATTTATAAATATCTATGTAAGATGTATTTATCAAATGCAATAAAATTCATTGTAAATTTTTGTTCAAAAAAAAAAAGAAAATTTTTCATTCATATTTCTCTCCGTTTAACAAATTTATAATTCCGGATAATCTGTAATACCACATTCCAGTCGAAGTACTTCAGAGGAACATAATTTTGGAAATAAATTAATACATCTATAATAGTTTTTTTATTTAATTTTAAATTTTATTGTCTATTATTTGAAAACGAAATGATAAATTCAATTAAATTTCTTTCCAATATCACTCTCAAATCTTTTTCAAACAGCTTTTTTTTTTATTTTTTAATTTTATATTTTATATTTATACATTTCCCAAGTTAAATTTTATTATCTATCATTTAAAAAGACTAATAAATTCAATTAAATTTCTTTTCAAAAATCATTCCCAAGTTTTTCTTTTTTTATTATCATTTAATTTAATTCTTTTCCCTCATACTTTGCATTTATAATTAATAAATATTAATTCAAAAAGAAAAATTTAAATATATTAGTTCATACTTATTTAGTGCTTGTCGACGAAGTGTTTGAGGTACAAACGGTGATGGAAATTCTGTAATTCGTATAATATTACATTCTCGAGTTAATTCAGACATTGTAGCACTACCATCATTCATTATATCAATCATTGCATGGCCACCTAATTTTAGCCAAGTATAATTTGCCTGTAAATATTATTGGTTCTATTATATGGCATTAAAATTTTTACGGTATCATTTACAGTA